GCATGAATACCATGTGGCCAACCTGAGGTAAGCGAACTTCAGGCATGCAGCCTTGCTGCGGCGTTTTGGGAAGAATCCGCTGAGATTGGTGAGCCGCAGTCCATGCCTAGTGGAGAGCTCCTGGAGGGTATGAACCGGCTTCATCGCACAGGGCACACCAGTCGTTTACCTGGGTTGCTTGTTGAGCATGGGCTCCAAGTTGACGTCAAGCCAACTTTCCACGACATTGGATTGAAGTTAGACCACCCGGTGCTCTCCATTTCAAATTACATCACTGCGCTTTCTAGTGCAGGGAAGCTCGACATCTTGTTTCAGGGGCATGACTTCACGAGCTATTTGTCATTTTGGACCCGGTACAGGACAATGAAGCCCGAGCATCCTGTGTTTAGTGGTGTGTTTGGCCAGGATCTATCGCATTGCATACCGTGCTTTCTGCATGCTGATGAAGGGACATCGCAAAAAAAGCGACAGATCTTGGTTCTGCAGATTCAGCCGGTGATGGGCAGGGGAAGTTCTCGCAGCGCAGAGCTGAATTTCTGTGGCAGTACGTATTTAACGCGGATGCTCTGGAGTGTGATGCAGGCAAGGCTGTATTCTAAATCGAAGCTTCCACTTTATGCCCTTCTTCGGGTTCTGGCCCAGCAATGCACAGATGCATTTAACGATGGCCTTGACATCACACTCAACGAGCGACCTCACCGGATACGATTGGTTGTTTTAGGGCTGAAGGGAGACTGGCCTGCTCTGACCAAGCTAGGAAGGTTGACGAGGCACCACCTTCGTGATGCCCCAATGTCCGAGAATCCACCAGGCATATGTCACCTATGTTTGGCTGGGCAGTCTCTCTTTCCGTGGCATGTGTGCAGCCCGGATGCAGCGTGGCTGGAAACGATTGGTGCTGGCCCGCTCCCGTGGACGATTCCTTCCCCATTGGCGGACATTCCACAAGACCAATCTGACCGTGCGTCTTTTTATTTCATCGACCTATTTCACACTGTGCACAAGGGCGTGTTTTGTGACCTTGCAGGGTCCGCGATTGTGTCTTAGTTGCAATTGTTTGACACGAAAGATCGATTCAAGCTTAGCTAGGATATGTTTGTGAGTACAACTCAAGTTGTCCAACAAACACGCAGGTAAGCCTGGTGGAAGAGCTTGAAGCTTACGGGGGTGGGAGTGCTCTGGCTCGTCTGGGCGCTGTCTTTGAGGAGCTGCAGGCGTATTGCAGCATGCATAAGCTGGTCCTTCACATGAACGCGTTGACCAGGTCTCTTCTTGGCTGGCACAACAGTTCGGATTACCCCTCAGGGATGCTCTTCCTAAAATAGTATACTTTCTGCATGTGTTCTGTAACACGTGTTGTTTTTGTTCGATCAATCGATAATGGATTTGCATGATGTGGGCCAACCAGAGGTCTTGGTTCAAGGGAGCAGACACAACAATCGTGTGCAAATGGCTGGAGTGGAAAATACCGCGGTTTGAAGCTGATTACGAAGGTGATCATGATGAACATCTTTCACAGCTTTCCAGAGCTTTGGTTGAGGGCAACAGCTTCATGTCTGCGTTGTACCATCAGCCTTTGTGGTTGAAACCGTCAGACGCCCTTCGCATCTCCAATCACGGGCTTGCATTTCTATCGCTGTACAGCTCTCTGGCAGGGTACGCTTTTCAGCAAGGTTGGCCCCGATACAAACTTCAGCCAAAATTTCATATGCTAGCGCACATTCTATACTCATTGCGGGATGCAGGCTCCAAGAACATCGAGACCCTCAATCCAATCGCATTTAGTTGCCAACTCGATGAAGACTTCATAGGGCGAGTCGCTACACTATCAAGAACGGTGAGTTCAAGAACAATCCATGAACGTACCATCCAGAGATTTCTGCTGAACGTTGCGTCTAGATGGTAGCTGCGACTAGTCCGACATGCCGAGCCTGGTAGAAAAGGTCCGTACGAGTCCGGGGAAGCTGTGAGCCAAACGAGCGTCGTGGAATCGGTCACTTTTGCCTTGGTGACACAAATAAGCATCACAGTGATCAGTGCATGTTTAAAAGCATATCCCAGGCTAACCAGGTCGCTCCTCCCAAAAGAAAAGAAAGAAAAAGAACCCGAACCCAAACCTGAACCCGAACACCCCCTCCGAACCCGAACCTGAACCCGAACTCCCCAACCCAGGTGGAGTGGGTTAGGGGGGGGGGTTAGGGGGGAAGTAGCTTCCAAGCGGTGGGTTGGGGGCGAGAAAAAACAAAAAAACATAAACCCGAACCCGAACCCGAACCCCCCCTGAGCCCGAACCCGAACCCGAACTCGAACCTGAACCCAAACCCAAACCCAAACCCGAACCGCCCGAAACCGAACCCCCCCCCCAAGCCCGAACCCGAACCCGAACCGTAGTGCCTAGGCGCAGCCATGACCATTGAGAATCAGAACCAAAACGTGGACCACGCAAATATCTCCTGGAAACCCACACATTTGAGCAAAAACTGTTTTCTGCAAGAATCTCATATTCAGCTCCGACCCTGGCACTGGAGATTGTCATGGAAAAACCAAATTGAATGTGTGCAATTCACATAACAATTCTTTCGATTCGAATTCGACGCCTGCCCAGGTATGAGCGAAGCTCTTAAAAGATGATGATGCAGGCGCGGGGGTCAATCTTTGGGACTGTTTCTAGATAATCACGCCCCTTTGTCAATGGGAGAAGTTGCGCGACGAGCAAAAATCATAGCAGGTGTGAGCGATGCTCTCCGCGGAGACGGAGACAAGCGTCCATTTCCAGGCAAGGGGTTGAAAACGCAACAGTTTTTGCGTGCTTACTGCGTCTCTTATTGTGCGGCAGCCACAAGTTTCCGATGTGACATGTGCAGCCGGCAGCGATTTGGATCACATCACCAGGTGAACCAATTATTGTACCTTTCAATCTTTGAATCATGGGGCTGTTGAGCCGCGCTAGCCGCAACTTTCAGCTCTTGAAATCTGTGGCTGCGCGCCGCGAGGCTTGCGAGAAGGGAGGCAAGCGTTCCAAGAAGAGCATGATCTCTGCAGAGGCGACGCCATGCTTACCAGTTTTGACGGATGAGGATGAGCCAGAAACCCCATGGCTTGCAATGGCAAAAGTTCCGGAGTGCAAACGAGACCCCGCCAATTTTGAACGTGGCCGCTGACCAGCCACCGCGTAAGCCCGGTGCGGAGCCCGCTGCGGCAGCACTTGCGTCAGAAGGCGCCATTCCTTGCTTTGAGAAATTTGGAGACGGGAATTGCGACTGTACTGTGTCGAGCAGTGGTTTTCGGACCCTCTGCGTCAGGTGCGTCGGTTGACCAGTGGGAGAGCCTACTAGAAGGCAAAGTTCGCCGAAGAGCATGCTCAGATGATGCATTTTCGGAAACGGCCTTGCAGCTGTCTGCCGCAGACCAAGAGTCATTCTTGCTTCGCTTGAGGATGACTTGGCAGCTGCGCGTTTCACGGACATGAAGTTCCGACCGATTTCTGAGGGTTCGAAGAGATAAGCTGGTGGTATGGAACCTGGCGGAGTTGAAGCCGAGACCAAGCTGGTCTTTGGCCCAAAGCTGGTTGCTGCGAGGGATTAGGGAGACATCTCTGCTGACGGGGTTCCACGCCCAGCCAATCGAAAGGCTGATCAGAAGCCTCCTTCGCGGAAACGCAGATCTGATGGGGAGCACCCTGATGACGAACACCGCTGGTGGGTGTGTGAGAAGGCACGGCATGAGACTTGAAGCAACACCCGACACCGCTGGTGGGTGTGTGAGAAGGCACGGCATGAGACTTGGGGCCGTCTGACAAGATGGGTGAGGTCTATTGGCAGCGATTTGCTCTGTCAGTGGCTGAGGTCAACAAGACGGCGCCTGACAAAAGAAGGAGGGCTACTTGGCCATTCATGAAATCCGCCACTACCTGGTTGAAGTTGTTGCCGGAAACCTCATTGATGGCAAACGGTCTGTTTCCAAAGGCTTACTTGGATACTCTGAAGCGCGCCCTCAACGCGCTCACATGGGCTTTTGTGCAGCCAGGTGACGCCCGATGAGTGGAACGTCTATGATTTGGCAAATGTGCGTACTGAAGGTGGTAAGAGAGCTGCATCTATCGCCCCGAAGCTGGACCACCGTGCTGGCATTTGGGTACCCGACATGTCCTCCACTAGGTACTTCGTGAAAAAGCCAGAGCCAAGTCTGCAGTCCATGCTTGGCCGACTTGCGGCGCTGGAGAAGGAAGTCGCAGACTTGGAGTATGAACTTGCAGCCCTTCAGCAGAGCCAGCCTGGAACGCCCAAAGCCAAAAAAGGCAGGAGGTCCAAGGATGTGCCTGCGCAGCAGGTAGAAAAGTCAAGCTGAAGCTAGCGGGGTCGAAAACGGCCTTGCTTGCGGGGATTCTTCTCTTGCGGCCCGGCGCCTTGGGATGTGGCCGAGATTCTTTCCAACGACATCGGCCTGTCATCATGGCAAACCTCGGGCGTCATGCGCGGCATCGCAAGACTTGAAAACCTGAGCTTGCCGGACTGGGCGCTGAAAACCCGCACCCGAACCCGAACCCGAACCCGAACCTCCCCCTCCTTCCCCCGACCGGACACTCCCGCACCCCGAACCGGGCGCAAGGTACTTTCAAACCCACATTCCTTCCGTTGTGACCCTTGTCATCAAGTCTCTGATTGGCAGAGCGCACGAGGGCAGGCCGTGCCACCAGGGCACCCTCGAACCCGAAACCCCGCAAACCCGAACGGACACTCCCGGCCCGGAACCCGAGCCCAAACCCGGCCGAACCCGAACCCGACACCTCCCCCGCCCCCCCCCCCCCCGAGCGGACACAAACCCCAACCCGAACCCGAACCCGAACCTCCCCCTTTTGAGCGGATATTTCCGGCCCGGAACCCGCAACCCGAACCCCCCTTTTTTGGGGCGGAGGTTAGGTTAGGGGTCAGCCGGGCGGGGTACACTCTGTCCCCCCCAAACAAAAAGCCACATGCGCCCCCAAAAATTTGCCCCCCAAGGATGGTGAATCGCAAAGTGGCCGGCCAGCCTTGCGGCCAGGACTGAAGCGGGGAGACCAATGCGTACCTGGAGCTCCATGACCCTTTAAAAATGGAGTCATTACACAAAATGAAGGGGTCATGGACCCATTTTGAAAGGGTCATGGACACTCCAGGTAGGGATGCAGAGCTTGCGTTGAATGTTGTTGGGTTGGATCATTAAGATTTAGCTGTTTGGCAAAGTAAAGTTTTCCCCAATAACTTGAAAAGTTAAAGCTGTTGGGCAGGGGGCAATGAAGAGGATGAGGTTGCAAGCTATTTATCTTTCATAAGCGTTCCAATCCTCTATCATCCTCTTCTTACCTCTTTCTCATTCTCTTCCACCAGCTTGCCTGGGACATTTGGCTATAGCCTGTTGTCCTTATCTCGTAGCTTGTTCTCAGAGCGGCCTTGTGGTACATGACGTTGGGCCAAACAGCCCATCGGTTGGGAAACCTACATGTCCCCCAAATGCAGGCTTCAACTCCCACCCTGCGCCCGGCTTGCAGCGCTGGCAGAATCTTCAAAAGCTGTTTGTGCCGTTGTTTTCCAAGAGCAGGGCCACCCTTGTAGCGGATTGCTTGGATACACGCACCGGTCAAGTTGTCTGGGTCCAATACCCCCAGGCAAATGCGAAAAGAACAGGTTGCCTCGCTCACGCGCATCGGACGACCACGCCCCTCTCGTGAGCGCGGCCAAAGCAGGTTGCACAGCCATATGAATGACGCCGGCAAGGTGGCAAGAAACCAAGCACAAAACACGAAATGGGGGGTGGTTGATGCATCGCTATTTTTGCATGGAGTAAAAGGTGTTTTAGCCACATGGGTTTGGTTTTGTACATTGGGGCTCTGATCCCAGATGCCAGAGGGAGTCCACCATATCATCGAATGAAGGGTGTATTCCCCAATTCCTTTTTTCAGCCAGGAGGCGCATCATCCATGGTGGTCAAGAAAGAAGCTGCTGTCCTTGGTACGGCCTTCTGCCCAGGCCTCAGATCTCAGAACTTGTTACGTGACAGCCTTTTGCACGAAGGTCATGTCGCAGACGAGCTCGGAGCTTCGGAAGCCCCTTCAAACGAGGCAGCGCGACTGAAGCTGTCGCCTTTCACGGAGATGACATCCCTACCGTTGGGCCTCTCCATGTCTCTTTTTGTGAGGTGTGCCAACTTGGGGCTGTTTCAGGAAATCCGTTGGAGGACAACGCCTTGGGGCTTAACCACTGAAGGCTTGGGCCGTTTGCAGGTCGTAAACCCAGGAGCCCAGCGATCCGTTCAGCCGCATCATTGAACTTGCAAAAGGGGAAAGCACCCAAGAAAAGGGATTGGGGCCCTGGTTTTGGTTTCCAGTTTTTGGCGGCCCAAGCAAAAGGGCCAAGAAGCAAGCATATTGTTCAAGTCCAAGCATCGACCGCCTACACAAGTCCAACCACGACCAGAAAGCCGCGTGGCTTTGCGAGGCACTGAATAAGGCAAGAGCGGACTGCGAGAACACAGCAACGAGCCCTCAACTCCCAGTAGCCGTGCTGGATGACAGGGTCGCCAAACGGAGCCACAGGAAGCGTGCTGGCAGTGTTGCTTTTGGAACAATAGGAACTGTGTAGCTATAAGTTAAGGTTGCCAAAAGGATGCATGTTCACCATGTCGAGCATCGCATATACCATCTTATGCGCAGGGTCTCCCTCCGAATCTGGTGATCTTTGGGATCCTCCCTGAGTCAACTAACAGTTTTGGGCAGACCCAAAGAGGTGATCGTGTGAATTCACTATGCTAACATGTATGTGCCACACCTACAGTCTCCACCTCGACTTTTTTCTATGCACCCTAGCAACCTTTGCTTCCTTCGCACAGGGATTGTGATTGTGAGCTGCTTAGCAAGCCCCCTTTCCCAGTCGCTGATTTCAACCTGCAGGTTTTGCAGGGAGTTTGTTGCTTCGGGCGATTGGAGTGGTTCAACGATGGCCCAATGTATCAGAGGGGGTGGACCTAGGATACATTTTACATTTTACCAGTGACTCCATGTGAAGCAACCAATAAAATCTGCATTCTATAACTGGGCCTAACTCTAGATTCAATTTTGCCTTGCACTGCCTTAGGGTGATCTGGGCTTCGGATTGATCGGGTTTTTTAGTGAGGGACCTGCTGAAAAAGATCTTCTTTTTTTGAGTAAGCGAGGTTATTAGTATGGTCCTCCTCGTTACCACCAATACTGACAAGTGGTACTTGTCTGCACACACTCGCCGACCCACTGTGAGTCATGCAACATGTCTTCTAGGAAACATGTAGCCACCTCATCTGACAATGGACGAGGTCTCTTATTTGAGAAGTCTTCATTACCGTTTTCGGAATTATGGGTATGTCTCAAATTCGCACAATGGGGCGACCCCTAAAATTGTGGGTTCCTTTCGGTTTCACTTTAGACCAAGGTACACACAGGCACCCCCATTCGAAAAGCAATACCAAAAACACGAAGGCTATTGTAGTGGTACCCATGCAGATTGTTTATTCCCACATCTCAGCACCTTGGCATGAGAATCCTTCGGATGCGCCAAAGGATCCTGTTGTGTTCACTGTCAACAGCCAATGGAGTCAATATATTCGGCGGCCGAGTGGCAAGGATTCAAGGCCAAGCGACGTGTAGTTAATGTAATGTAGGCTTTGTGGGTCCAGAAGACCATGCTACTCAGAGGCCGCCCCCTTTTCGCGAGAAAGGGAGCATGTGAGTGGATTTCGAGCTGAGGTCTGGCCCTATGTGCTGGCTGGCTTCCTGGCAGGAGCACGCTCCGGTGAAAGCATCCGATCGAACCCTTTGAGCCAGAACCCGTGGTCTCAGATGTAACTTTGCGCAAGGTGTCTACTAACCACAAGAAGTGAGGTCCAAGCATGAAATATGGAAGGCGCCATCAAAACAAGACCTGTAAAACCTTCAACATGAAGATGCCAAACAAATCCCAGATGCCGAAGCCTTTAGTAGTTCAATTGTTCTCCCTTCATCAAAGATGCCCCCAACAACACCATGAACGGCGAACGCCGCCAAACATGCATGAGGTTTGGGTTGGGACCATCCACTGTACGCCTCTGGCGGGTGCCGTTGCCACAGACCTCTAGCTCCCCCAGAAGTTTTACCGTTTTTGGGGGAGGGTTCCTACTAAAATAGGCTACAGAAAAAAAAGGGAACCCTTATTCTAACCTCTCTACTGGAGGACTTAGTTAATCCGTTTATCCAAACACATTATTTTGCTGCACTGACCCACATCAAGTCGACTGTGTCCTTTGGATCTCCGGCGTATCCTTGGGCAAACTCATTTGATCGGGTTGCCCCCGTGACGGCTCATTGTGCGGGGGTTCCAGGACTTTCTCCCACCTCTCATCAGCTAATGCCAGATCCCGGATTTCAAGTTGGTGGATGAACGGAAGGGGGTCCAACTCAGCAACAAGTGATGAAGAGTCCAGGATATATGTGAAACCAGAGGAATCGAATCAGGGGCGAAATCAGGAATGCGCAGTTCCCTGCCCTCAGAACACCTGCTAATTACGGGGATTGCCATTAGCCATCCCCGCCGAAGTGTGAGGGAGCCCAGTCCCCCCCCCCCCCCTTGCCATAGAGGGAATGGGGGCGGGGGGAGGTTTTGCCCAATAGGTGGGTTGTCCTGGAACTGGGTATGGATCATGTAAAGGAGCTTGGGGTTTGATACTGTGGATGGGCGAAATCCATTTCGCACCACCTGAGAAACCCTGGAATGATTCGATTCCCCTCCAAATACCAGCAAATAATGGTTTCTCATGGTTTCAAAGTGGTGCAGGATTTCGTCCATCCACAGTATGGGGCTGAATGTTGGCCCAAAAGGTGCTGGGCTCAAAACCGCCCAGTGAGACATTCCTCATAAACATGGGTTGTGTGTTGTCTACGGCGGTTTTCACAACTTGAAGCTCAAATGGGAATGCGAACATCTCGGCTCGGACATGGACACGGGCGGTTTGTTCCTTTTGGGACTTATGGGAAGCCACGTCTTTATTGGATGTTCCCAACTTCAGGAGCTTGCGCCACCTGCGCGGTCATCAGTCTACGGCTGAGTCTCGGGTTTGGCGTTCAATTTGGGGGAGCAATTTTTTATTGATTCGATTTCGGTTCAATGCCACGAGGGCACAGCTTTTTGTTGTTTATCTTTGCCATCTACCTTTTGACACGGGTTCCGCGAATCCTTTCGTTGCTTTTTCTTGCGGCAAAAGTGGATCGCGTTGTGAATCGTCACTCTTTTTTTCGATACTCTCCAAAAAGTGGATCGGATCGCTAGGCGTAGCTAGCCAATTTGCTTGAGACATGCAACATGTTGATTGGTGAGACACACTCGTAGGGGCGACAAGCTGAGCCCCGCATATGGCAGGCTTGAGTCACAGACCGGCTTTTTTGAATCGGGTTTCCACCGCGTATTCGCCCAAGAGCTCAGCTCAACATGAGGAAGCTCGCATTGACATGGTTGGCGCTGGGAGGATATGCTATGAACACGCCCTTGCGCTTATGATGTACGAGGGGGGGGTACCCTAATGTACGAGAATTGTCTTCGTACATTTTTGGGGCGTTTCTGACAGGGGCGCCAGGAATACATGTATTATATAGGGCCCACAAGGCCAGAGCAACATAGCGTCGCCCTGCGCATCGGGGGGATGCAGCAGCTGCCCAAAGGGCCCAAAATAGATTCCACTATCTTTGGAGCTTTTGGGCGGTTGGCTTTCCAGAGCTTGCGGCCTTTTCGGCATCCTCGGATGAAATGACAAGGTTGGTGGAAAGCGATGGCTTTTGCAACCAGTGTCAAAGTGGTTGCGATGGTTTCCAGTTTTGAGTCAAAAGTCCAAAGGGTGATTGGTTGCAAATGAATCAGTTGGATCATTCTGGCCCAAACTCAGACCATGTTTTGTGGCAAACCTACAGACCTAAGTGTCATGCAGGGGCCAAGAGCAGACCACGCCATGCAGAACCTAGGTGCCCAAAGGGTGCCTCAAGAAACCAGGACCCTCTTGAAGCAGGAAAGACTGACCCTTCCTATCCGTGACCCGGGAAAAAGAACACACACACACACACACACACACCGGGCTCCCGGGAAGACCCATGCTCAGTTGCCCAGTGGTGCCCTTTTTTCTCCTTTTTTTTGGGGAAGGTCCCCTTTAAAACAACGAACCGCCCCCAAACAAAAAAAAACAAGCTCAGGTGATATTATCAACAGCATGCGGTGCTCTTTTTAGTGCTCGCACCACCCCGCAACCCCCGCCAAACCTTGTGGAAGTGTCGTGGAACCCTGGTGGAACCCTAGTGGAACCCTGGTAAAGCCCTGGTGGAACTCTCGTAGAACCTTACCTCAGGGCCGCCCCGGGCCACCCCGGAGCCTATCTGGGCTGAGACCCCAGCTGTTGGGAACCCGGAACTTCCGGAACCTTCCTTGAACCTTACACCTGGCCTGCACCAGACCTCCGGAACCTTGCTTGAACCTGACGCCTGGCCTGCGCCAGACCACCCCGGAACTTCCGGAACCTTCCTTGAACCTTATCACCTGGCCTGCAACCTCCGGAACCTGCCTTGAACCTTACACCTGGCCTGCGCCAGACCACCCCGGAACCTCCGGAACCTTGCTTGAACCTGACACCTGGCCTGCGCCAGACCCCCCCCAAAACCTCCGGAACCTGCCTTGAACCTTACACCTGGACTTCGCCAGACCACCCCGGAACCTCCGGAAACCTTATCTGGGCTGAGACCCCTTAGCTTTCAGCTGTTGGGGAAAAGGGGTGCCCAAGTTTTTCGCATGGAATTTGACTGGGCATTTCATGCCTTTTGTGCCGTTGCTAGGCGTGCCAACAGAACTTGGTTTCTGCGTCGCCCTGAGGCATTTGCTACGAGCACTGCCGTTTGAAGCCACCGAAGGCGCGGGGAGCGGGGGAGCGGTTGAGCGGGTCGTGGGGCCCAGGGCGGGAGCCCAGTCCATGCCCCACAGCTCTCTTTGTTTCTTTTTGGATTTCTTAGGCCATGGGCCGGCATACTTTGGCAAGAGGTAGGCATTGGGCTTGGCATCGTCTTGAGGTTGATGTGTTTTGTGGAATTTGAATTGGCTTAGTTTGAATACGTGGGGCATGTGGCCTGCGGTTGCCAAAGGCATTTGGTGGACCGTGAGTCTACGCACAGCTGAAAGCCCCCCTAGATTTCTTTGCTTAGGACCCGTCAGGCTCCGAGTTTGGACAGCAGTTACCGCGAGCTTTGGCAATCTGTAAACGCTCCCGAAGGAGGCAGGCTACTTAGTGGTGGATGACCCTCCGAGTTGCAGATACTCAACACCGAAGGTCAAGACCCGGGTGATGGCCCCAACAAACCTGTAGGGGGAGTTCTCACTAGCTACATGACGTGGCCGTAGATGGTTCTTACTACACCCAAACCGCTGCCCTGTGAAAGTGAATCGACAGGGTGGACAGCCTTGTGCTGTTGTTCTCCCCAGAAAACTAACATGGAACCAACACAAAAATCCACCAAAAAGTTGATCCCTTCCAACCAATTGCTGGATTTGTTTGAGTTGTTTGGACATTTGTAGGACATGTTTCAGGCGCCGCAGTGGCTTGGAAAAGGTTCCAACCAGTTTTGCGCTTGGCTCCGAAAGTCTGGATGTCATATGTGTCAACCGTTTTCCCATAAGGGCTACCGGAGTACTTTTCCGCTTTAGTCGGCTTCCCCCCAACTTGGTGATTTGGTTAACCCCTAGTTCTTGTAGAGGGCAAATTGACAATCACTTCAGAACCTCCAACCACCAAGTAGAGGGAAGCTGAGGCAAACGTACCTTTTGGAAAGGCCAACTCGAAGGGAGCTTTGCTTGGGGTGATGCCTAATGAGAAATGGAAAGGCAGGGAACATCCAAAACAAATAGCTGCCCTGCCACCCTGGTGGAAGGGAGAACCCTTTGATGAGCTAGCTATTTTGAGTCGGGAGCCTGTCCAACACAAAGGAACAAATGGTTTCCACTGAACAATTGGCGCCTGTAACGCTTCCCTTTGAAATGGGTAGTGACTCGGCCCATCGATCCGATCGCCGACGCGCATCAAAACTGGATGCTCGACATCAGCGGTTGCCACAGCTTTACCTGATCTCACAGGGTAAACAGAACACCCTCGCTTCTGGTTGATTTTGAAGGTAAATCCACCCAAAAAAGGGAACAAAGAACTGGAGGTCTGGGGGGTTCACAATAGACACAAGAGCTCTGCTTTCTAAGATGCCCCATGCCCCCAACACCAAAGGGGGTATCTAGAGCTTTTGCATAGTGGCTTTCATGGTCGGTGTATATTTGATGTTCACCCCTTGCCGGGTTTTGGGAAGGCTTTTTTCAGAGTTTTGCTTGCTCACTTGCACCTTGCCACCTCATTTTGGGCCTCTCTTTTCAGAAACCCTCAAAAGTCTCAGAATGGCATTTGCCCTCACGAGTTGGCTCCCTTGGATTTGGCTTGGCACCGCCTCCCAACAAAAAACCCTCCTCACACCACCTCCCTGGCCAGCGAAACCGCGCGAAAGCGCGTGACTAGGCGTTTGCCCGGAGACTCCCGGAAGGCGCCGGCCTGGTTTCCCAACTTTTGGGAAGGGGCGCCCCTTTCCTGCAGGGTTGCGGGATCAAGGGGTTTCTCCCCACTTCTGTGATACAAGGGAATCCCTTTAGTTAGTCTTTGGGAAGCCCTTTCTGTTGTATCACAGAAGTGGTCATTCCCCACAGCCCTGCTTTCCTGAGTTCTTATTTTCCCCCCTGTCGGTTTTAAGGGAATCTACTGGAATCATGTGTTTGTTTGCTTGTTTTCAGGGGGCTGAAGCAAGTGGCAGTTGGGATAAACACTCACGTCCTGAGATCATGAACTTTAAACTTTTTGGGTTTGGACCATTTCAGTGGCAAAGTTAAAGTTTGGACCTTTTTTGGGCCATCCATTCAGCCAGTGAGCTTGTACTCAATCAGCCCAAAAATGAGTGGATCGTTGATCCCTTGCGAACATTGAAACTTGCTTGGGATACGAAACGACTTTGCCTCTAAACTCCAGCCCAAAGTCTAAAGGTATGGCTCACTATATTTTGCAATTCCACCTTTGAAATAAACATTAAGGATCCCCAAGAAAAGCACCCACAAAATAGGCAGGCTGGGAACTGTCAAGGTCCCAAATTGCGAAGTCTCAACTATTCAGCTTCCCTCTAATTGTTGATTTGGATTAGACCAAGGGATGCAATACAAACACATCAAGGATGGTGTAGTTATTTCAACATTCGATGCGTGGTGGGCGAAGCACAGGATTACTGGGAGAGGCACAGTTTGTTTATGAGTTGTTTACGAACATTTCGTGCCACCGCTCCTTTTACCGCCTCCACTTGTGTCGTCGTGGACTCATAGGAGCTGGGGCAGACAAATCCGGTCTAGAGGCAGCCCTTCCCCAGTTCGAAATTATCCAGTGAGAACTTCCCGTGTCTTCGGAGCCTGGGTTGCACGTCTTGAGAAGAGGACCTCACAGGGCATGGAATCGGAGGATTCCAGTGGCCCAAAAGGTTTGCGCCTTGTTCCCTTGCAAAGAGAAGCCACTGCAGCTTCAGTTTCTTTTGTGGTCCGCCGTCCAGAGCCACACAAATTCACTTGGGTAGATTCGGGAGGCAAAGCCCCAGCTCCCAATCAGGAATATGCGCGGATATCTGCCCTTTTGTTTTTTGCATGAGTTGGGTCAGACTCCTTTGCCGGTGTTTGAGCTTACCTGCGAATGCTTCTCTTCTCACCTGTTCCTTTTTGGTAGACATCTTGCCGGTCCTTTCGGATGAGCTTAGGGCTTCTCACAGGCAAGACAGCGTTGGGGCCCAGCAAAGCCCTTTGCTCAAGCTGCTTTGCTCAAACCCCTTCGTGAACATCCTGAGGGGCCAGGCATCACTCACCTAAACCCCCCACTTTCCCTTTTCCTCCTTCATCTTCCCTGGCAACCAACCAGCCAGGCGGGCAACCTGTGGCACGGAGCTCGGAGTGCCAGTGAGTACAACCTGGCTTGCTCTTTTTTTTGGCGGGGGGCCGGTGGAAGTTTATTGTAAGAATATTGTATAAAAAACACATGTAAACATGTAGGCATATATGTATATGTATACATAAATCAATATAGCAATACGATTGTGTAGATTGCAATAGGTATATATTTATTCGGCCTGTCTCCGGAAGAAACCGCTTCCAGGTAAACAAGGAATAGCAGAGTTGAGAGATGTAGATTGACCTCACGGACCAGCGACCGTGTGCGACCTTCATGAAGCTTCCTTCCGTATGGGGTTCTCGTGTTTTTGGGGTTGGAGTTACTCAGCCAGTGTGGTTTCAGATATCCTGCTCAATAGCCTTCCACAATCAACCAGAAGTTTTATCACGGACCTGGATTGCTTTGCAGCTGCGGAGTTCGGACCGAATGTATTGAGAGGGTGTCTTGTGAGCCAATTTGGAGTGGGCGGTGTTTGCTTTTGTAGATCTGAAACGGAGTGACACCAGGGAAGCCTGAAAATGGATTTTGTCATGCGAGTCACCGTGGTTAGGTACTTGGTCTGAACCAACTTTACACAAGACGCAAGGGCTCACGAATTTTCCTGAAGGGGAAAACCACACGAGGGTTGATGGCACACAAGAGTCCGTACCTTTGCGTTGGCCCAGATCGAATCTGACCCCTCTGATCTACATGTGCCACGGTGGCCAACCGCTGCTTGGATCATATGATTTGAGCTTGGGATTACTTTGCAACCAATGAGCCAACTTGCAACCTATGCAACCAACGAACCACTTGCAACCAACAAACCACATTTGGACCGCGAGCCTGGGAGCTCAACAGTCGATCCCTTTTCCCCGAGGCGATGCCGCAAACCGCGAGGGAAGAGGCGCGGCTCGGGCGAGCGCGGCTCGAGCGGCCTGGGGGGGTTCTTTCAAAGAAGCTTTGGGAGGGGCTGAAGTCTTCAAGCTTTGTGAAGGAATCAAGCCTCAACCTGCCTTATTCTCGCCCCTTTTCGGGGTGGGCCAAACATCACCTCTGGGTCCGGTCTGGAGTTTCCTTTGGAAGGGACATGTTTCCTGGGACCAAAGAAAGAACACGAAAGAACCCTGTGCTTGTCTCCACTGCGCTTTGTTCCTGAATTCTGTTTGCGTGCGCGATTGCTGCTGCCTATGGTTTGTGGTTGTCCTGTTTGTCCGGTTCAGGCTAGTCGGCCTCTGTGATTCATGGCGTTGTAACACAGAAAACATGGAGAGTGCGAGAGGCGCCTGTCATCTCGATGATGTTCCGAAGTGCTGTTTTGAATGTTGAGATCCCCAAATGATACCCTGCGCTTAGACCCGGTAAGCACGATCAACATCATGGATAAGGTCGCGTCGCTGTCATTGCCCCAGTATAACCTGAAGGCACCCTAGTCTGTTTGTGGGTCGTGGAAAAGGGACACAAGGAACCAGACTGCGGGCTTGCGCGCGGCGTATCGTATCTTGGCAGAGCAACAATGGGGGTTACTTTTTGAAAAGAAAGGATCCTACAACCTGATAAAGGCTTTCTGCCTTGCTATCGTTTGCCCGATCTCGCCAATTGGCCGCTGGAATGCTGACATGTCGGCAAACTCGTATGTCCAGTTCTTGACAGTTTGTCCCCTTCCAACAGATGGAACTTACAGCCTGGACTAGATCTTGGACTCTGCAAATTTCTGCAAATTACGGGCAGCTGTTTGTCAGGACGAGCGTGCAATTAACTGCAACAATTGCAATGGCTCTTTGGCGTGTCAAGCCGTTCAGCAACAGGCGGCCTTTTCAGAACAAAAAAAAAACACAGGTTGGTTACAAAATGTATTGGCCGCATGCTCAGCCAGCACACACACACACACACATCGCTTCATGCCTGCTTCTCGCTCTCTCTGTCGCTCTCTCGCTCTCTCTCTCTCTCTCGCGCTCTCTCTCTCTCTCTCTCTCGCTCTCTCTATCTCTCTCCCTCTCTTTGGCTCACCATTCGAGGAACGCCGGATGTCAACGGAAAGGATCAACATGGATCAACGCACCAGAAGCGAATCACTTTTTTGTGGGGAGTTTATTTAGTTTAGGGGTATGGGCGGTGAATCGGATGAATCCAAGCATGACATCCATATGTTGATGGCAATTTCACCGCTAGAACAAGCCTTTTTTCCAGGAGCCCCGGGAAAAGCGCGTGCTTTGCTTTTCCTTTGTCAGGGAAAGCGCCCCTGGCTTTGCTGAAGGTCAGCATGAGTTGGGCCTGTTTTGCAGAGATTGGAAGAAACATGTTGCCTCATTCTGGGAAACCCGGAGGCCCAACTTGAGAGGAATTCTACGCTGGGGAGGGGGCTTGTACGCCGATGTACACAAGCATGAGATTGGGGGGTGTCTGGGGGGGGTTGTGGGGCCCAAGCCGGGTCTCGCCAAATAAGAGCCCCCCCGCCCCCCTCCCCCCCACCATCTTTTCTCATGCAGCTGGTCGCGCCTTCAGGCGCCGCTGCTGAAGCAGTGCCCGCAGGCAGGGCATATTGCGTGAGTCATCAAACCCCAAAAGCTTGCTGCGCAGAGAGTTTCGAGAGTTTTGAATGAAGCTAGAGAGACCTGAAGTGAAATTACAAGGGGGCATTCCCTCCTTGCCTACTGAGAACCAGCAAGAAAGGGGGGTGCCCAAAAGTTGATTTCTCTGAACGTGGATTCTTGGGCTTCCATTTGAGTCTGCAGGTGTGTAGGGGAGGGGGATTCTCTGATACGGCAATTCCTTGGAAGTGACAAAGGAATGGAGATTGGATAGGCATCTTCTACGGAAGTGTATCACAGAAAGGCGTGCTTTCCACCAGGAAGTGTCTATGAAGTCTTTTTTTCCAACAGCTCAAGGCTTCAAAGTTTCTGCCCAAGAAAGCGCTGGGGTGCTTTGGAGCAGCGTTCGCGTGGTAGGAATTCGGGGTGCTGGGGAATAGCACCTGGGCTTATTTGGGATGGTTTTAAGAACCGTCGGACCCAAGTCCAGAACTATTTTGGGTGCTTTGGAGGATCCCTAGACTTTCCTTGGGATCCGGATACTCGGTATGTGCTTCAAGAGCGCCCCTTGCCGAAACTGAGGGGGCGCCGGTGTGAATTAGCGGTTGCACAGGTGCGCGGTGCAAAGGTCTTGGCCCGCTTTCCGCGCAAGTGCGCGCAAATGCCTTCGTTGCAAATGCACTTGCGGCCTAGCACCGGATCAAACGCGCAAGTGTTGCGGCGCTGCGCAAAGGTTTCGGTCCGTGCCACCCTGTGCCGTGTTTTTTTGTTGAGGTTCGGTGCCCTTTAAGGGTGGGTTTACGGGGACACGAAAAGGAAAGCACTGTAAGGTACCAAACGACCCCGTTTCTTTTGCCCTCAACAGCCGTCCTCAGAAGGTAGGGACGCCTTTGGCTGCCTGCCTGACTCGCAGGCCGCCTTCCCACCTGGAGCCTTTGGAGGAGGGTTCTGTCCGTCTGGACCAGGAGGCTTCTCTCCGTCACAGAACCTCTCCTCCCGCACGTATTTGCCCGCCTCGGCCCAAGGTCCCGCAAGGGCCCAAGGTCTCGCTCGTTCAGAATCAGTCCGCAAGAGCCTTGTGGCAGATGGTAGCCTTGGGCTATGGATTGCGGAGTAGGGATTCTCAGAACCCCCCCCTATTTTGAGCCCATGTTGGAATCCAGCCCAAGGATTGGTTTCCCTAGCCCTTGAGGGAGTGTTCTTTTGAGTGCACCCTGTTTGGGCTGGTTTAAAGGGAATCCAAAGGGAAAGCACCATAATGGTGAGGCCCTTTTTTTTGACACAAAATAACATGGTCTGCAACTATTTTTGTGCCAGCGCAGCGCCGTGTTTTCCCCATGGCCACTGGATTAAGTGACTTAGTGCTGCCGTGGGCTGAACAAACAGCGATGCCAAGCCTCACGGGGCCCCAGAAGCGAGGGAATTCTCGGACGTGCCGAGGCCGCGTACATGAGGCCGCCTTGAGATGCTAATGCCCCGCTTTACCGAAGAAAGCCGCAAGTGGCGCTCTCGCAGGGGGTGGCGGGGGGGGGGGTGCTTTTGAGTTGTTGTTCTGTTTGTTGGCTTTTCTTTTTCCTTTTTTTTTTTGGGGGGGGGGAGGTTAATGTGACAGGAGAGGTCCCCTTTTTGTTTTTGTGTGGCGGGGTTGGCTGTTAAAAGCTAGCAAATGGGATTGATATCCAGCTTTGCGGATGTTTGCGGACTTGTGTTCGGGACTCGAGGTTCTTTTAGTCCTGCACAATCATCAATGTCAAGCATTGAGATAATACCCGGCTAGATTTGAGGGAGCAAATGAGGGATTGGCGACCCTGGAATTTCCATTTTGTATTGCACATACTGAACAGTGCACTTGTGGTAAGTCTGGAGTCTCCTGCAAGACCATAATCATGTTTTAGAGTATAGTCTAAATGTGAAACAGAAGCCGAATATATGCTTTTCTGTGTAGACCAGATGCGGGTCAATGATTCGCTGTTTTACCGGCGAGCCGGCAAATGGACAGTTTCCTCGCAGCCAGTTCTGCTCGTCCAAACCAACAGCTGGCCCATTTCAACAGAGGGGAAGTCTGGGTCATCCTGATCATGTTGCAAGCGTTTCACCGCGACAGAACATTCCGAGCAGTTTTAAGCTCAGCGCTATTCTTATCCCCCTTGCACAACCCACAACAACTTAGCATGCGAATACGATAGTCTACGCATTCAAAGCAGAGTTGAAGAATGGAAAGCTGCCTGATAGTAGGATTGCTTGAGTGAGCATGATTCCGCCAAGGACCCCGCTACTAAGGGGACCCAATGCTCATCCTCTAGAAACGGGTGATTTTCACAGGTGAATTGTTGTCCTGCAACATGTTCTGATTGATGCACGACACGCTTCAATTTGGTGGATGGCTGCAAACACACCGGCCACTTGTTGACCCCCCCTGTCAGTTGAAGCCTTGCATTGACAAAGGAACCCCATGCTTTCAGGTACCATAGGAGGTATCCAGCGGAAACCATCACGCAGCAATCATGCAAGAGCTAGAGGTACATCGGGAAAATCATGTGCATCAACAAGTACGTATGATCCGCAGTCAGGGTGGGGGACCTTATAGAAGGCCAGTCTCCTTTTGAACGCAGGAAAGCCATGCCCATTCAAACTTGGACACTCCACTAGCTAGTTTGCGAGCCCCACCTTGGCAAAACGAGCTCAGCCATGACGGTTGCTGACTTCTGGAGTCCTTAACTGAGATCGGTGAAGTGTGGTGTTTCGTGTAGATTGTTGCCCGCGTAAGTGATGGGGAGGTATATACTTCGGTGATACTACTGGGAACGGCCTTTCCAGCCACGAAACCCAAATTATTTCTGGTTCCTTTTAAACGAGCCCGGAAAGGATACCCTAAAAGGCAATATATACATATATATATATATATCCATAGTTCGGCACCAAAACGAAGCAATCGAAAGGACTGAGGCCAGCCTCAATCCGATCTCGCCGCGCCCCGCTCTTGCTCCAGCAAAGGCATGTCGTGGGAGCAACAGATGTTCCAACCGCCAATCCATGAAGAGGCATCAACTCAGTTGTTCAGTGGCACCCTTTTTATTTGTTTGGGTGGTTGTTTTATTAAAAATAGTCTTCCCCAAAAAAGGGTTCCCTTTTTTCTTAAGGTCGGAGCATTCTAATTGAGTTGATATTCAATATGAAAGCCATCCCATCGAAAAGCGTCCATGTTGCGATGAGCCCAGCCCCAGAGCTCGGTGCACAACCGCCCTTTTTGTCGCCCGCAAGAATGGCAGCGAGAGGGTCTCCACACCACCAGCATCCACCGAAATCCCAGAAGTTTGAACCAAATCGCTTGCAAGGTCTAAACCACCTCCCCCACCAACTCTCACTTGGGGCAAGGGGGCACCTGTTCATCTTCCTGGGCCTTGTGTTTTAGCCCCGGCGCTCCAGTTGCCCCCCCCCCCCAAAAGCTCCCGCGGAGCCGCATGACGCACTGGAGCTCCACGGAAGACTTGGAGTCCCAAGGCTCGCCCCCGGAGCCCCGCGCTCAGCCCACCGGACTGGGGAAACCGCGCAGGGCCGTCCGAAGGGTTCGTTCCCAGCAAAGCCAAAAGGGGATGGTGCATTCAACGGGAAGGGCTGTAAGAGTCAGCCTCATTGGCTTACCCTCTACTGCAAAAACCTTTAAAAATAAAGGATACAAATGAAAAACCTGGTTTTGAGCCTCTTGCTTACCGAAAACAGGGTTTTACAACCGAAAACCCGGTTTTACTTTTAAAAACCCGTACAAAAACCATACAAAACCCGTACAAAACCCATACAAGACCCGTACATTTGTATGCTTTTCATAAAACCGGGTTTTCCCGCGAAGAACCCGGTTATTTTCGAGAACCTTTAAAATTAAAGGTTCTTGGAGTAGAGGGTAGATCATAGAAGACTTGAGCTTGCTGCCCTTTGCCAGGCCCCAAATTTCTACCCACACAAGGGGTCGACTGATAGCTGAGAAAAAGGGCCCAGGCGAAGCCAGGTGCGGATTGGATGGGTTTGATTATGAATGCCCAACTTGACCCTGTTGCTCGTGAAGGGCTGGGGGTCCGCGCCCGAACAACTCACTTCTTTCACCGAAAGGTCCTTCGCCTACGTCGAGTCTTCAGACCCCTCCTTCATCAACGCAGGCTGGGGTTGGTCGAAGCGACCGCGTCGAAATGCTTTTCGACGTGATGCATGTATATTCTTGAGCCTTGTCCATCCTGATGTGTGTGTGTGTGGGTGTGCGTGTGCGTGTGCGTCCTGATATCAACTTGGGATCCGTCAATCGCCTTCACTTCCATCGAGTATAGAGTCGAGTCGAAAACGAGGGGAGTCGGGCTGCACCATCGACGCCGAGAGCCCCGTGAGCTCCGCGCCTGGCGCCCGAGCCCGGCGTCGGAGTCGCGCGAACCTGCGGGCCTCCTGGGCTTGGCTCCCAGGCTATGGCCGGCAGAACGCCCCCCCTGAAGGTTCATGATTGTGGCTGATTTTTTTTTTTTTTTTTTTGCGAGGGTTGAGAAAACGTGGGCGTGGTTAGAAAAGAAGGCGCCCCTGCCCACTGTGTTCTTTGGTGTTCTGGTGTTGCTTGCGTCGCGTTTTGTTGGGTACTGTGTTTGCTGTTTTTGTTGGTCTGTTTTGGTGTTCGATCTTGATGTTTCTGTCTGGGGATGTTGTGTTGTATCAGGTATCGTTGCTTTTGAGGTGATGTTTGTTGTGTGCTGCCTTGCGGTTGTTTGCAAATTGTCGTATTCTTGTTTGTGCTTGCAGCACGTTTGGTGTTTGGTGTCCTGAGTGTGTTTGGTGTTTGTTTCTGTGATGGCGTTGAGTGCTGTTTGTTGGTTGTGGTTGTTTGTTTTGTTGGTGCTCCTCGCTTTTGCTTGTTGTGTGGCCGAGGGCAAGGCTTATGGTGTTTGGTTGTTGTGTGGCGTGTGCGGTGCATTTGTGTGTGGTGTGTGTTTGTGTGTGTGTTTGTGTGTGTGTTTGTGTGTGTTTGTGTGTGTTTGTGTGTGTGTCTGTGTGTCTGTGTGTGTCTGTGTGTGTCTGTGTGTGTCTGTGTGTGTCTGTGTGTGTGTGTGTCTGTGTGTCTGTGTGTCTGTGTGTGTCTGTGTGTGTCTGTGTGTGTCTGTGTGTGTGTGTGTTTGTGTCTGTCGTGTGTCTGTCGTGTGTATGTGCGTGGTGTGTTTCGTGTGTGTGTGTGCGCGTGTTTGCTGTTGTGTTGTTGCGTGTTTGTTTTTGTTGGCTTGCTTGCGTGCTTGCTTACTTGCGTGCATGCGCGATTGCTGACGTTCTGGCTTGCGTTCCTGTTTGTTTGGTTGCTTGCCTTCTTGCTTGTGTGTGTTGGTTCATGTTTGTTTTGCTTGTGTGTGTCCGTCTGTCTGTCTGTCTGCCGGCCTGCCTGCCTGTCTGTCTGCCTATCTGCCTGTCTGTCTGTCGTTTTGTGTTTGTTTGTTTGTTTGTTCGTTTGGTTGGTTTGTTTGTTTGTTTGTCTGTCTGTGTGTTGGTTCGTTTGTTTACTGTGCGTTCGATTGTTCCTTTTGTTTGTTTTGTTTGCGTTGGTTGGCTGGCTTTGCTTGCTTGCGTGCGTGCTTGCGTGCGTGCGTGCTTGCTTGCTTGCTTGCTTGCTTGCTTGCTTGCTTGCTTAGCTGTTTGAGTTTGGGTGGTTGTTTGTTGTTTGGCATCGTGCGCTTGTCTTGTAGTTGGCTTTTGTTTCTTGTTGGTTTTCGCGTGTGTTCTGGGTGTTTCGAGTTGTTTGTAGTATCTCACCAATGATTTATAAATGCATGCAGTTGATACATGTTTGGTCCAGACTCAGTCTCCGAGCACTCCCCACTGGCGCTACATCATTGATTCCCTCGCCACCCGGTTTGTCCAGGCTCCTGAGCGAATGACATAGCCCTTGGCCGTCTTCAGACTTTTCCTGGCCGGCCTCGAGTCGGATGATGTCATTCAAAGCCCCTCAGATCGGTGCCCATGATGAACGCGCTGCAGATTGCCGGCGAAGGAGCCAATCCAGGTGCGCCAGAGGTTTCATCAGAGACAGGGCCTTTGAATCCCGCCACCAGGTTTCATCTAGAAGCCTCAATTTGTAGCAACCTCATGTCAGGCGGTTCTCTAGACATCCCTTGGCGGTTGGTGAATTGCCTCAACAACTCTAGGAATCGAAGATCAGCGACCAGCTTGCTCAAAGCATTCTCAAAGCGCACTTGTTGAACTCAGGAAGATGTGCAGATGTACCTTGATGTATGACAAACCAAACTCTACTGCGAATAACCTATCCGTTTGCGAACATACCAGGTGCTGTTTTCTACAACACGGCTTGGACTTTAGGATGTTGAAAGCGTATAAAACTCCAACAGAGGGAAGAACAAGTGTAATGCACACAGAGCGCACCCAATCGTGCTTTCTAGAAAAATATTCAAATAGTGCTTTAACATGCGTAAGCAGGTCCCATGTAGCCGAGCATTCCGTCAGCATTGAGCAGGGTCGGCATTAAACCGTTCCTGGATGACCAAACAGTTTTCTAGAACATCCGCCGTATCAGGTAACTCTTACTTGCTGGTTCGGGTTGGTTTGGGATCTGAATTCCTGGTTCTAGCAGGTAAATGGGCTCCAAACCACTAATTACCCTCCCACCGACTAACATGGAAGTGCACAGACCCCCTGTAGGAAGACGACTTTCCTCCAGGAAACGGGCTTTGTGCACTTCCATGTTAGTTGCTGTCCCAGGACCCCCCTGTCAGGTTCCATGTTGATTTATTTGGTGGGAGGGTAAATGGGAGACGACCCAAGTTCCAAACCGCCATAACGGAAGCTGACCGCTGTTAACATTGTTGGTCCTGGTAACCGATCCGAGGCGGGAGTGCTTGTCGCCCGACGATGTGCGGCCGGAACCTCGTGGTCCTGCGGCAGCTGGTGATAAAACACGCCGCGTTTCGCTGGAGCTAACGCCAAGTTTGATAGGTTTGGTCCATGTTTCCACTTGCCAGGGTTCCATTTTGGTATCGGTTTTTTGAGCCACTGCCATATACGCATGCCTGGAGCTGCATCATCATGGTCGCAATCATCGTGAAACATGGCTGAGGGACCCGCATGCTGCGGCCTACCGTTCAGACCGAAAGAACACACCCCCATGAAAGCTGGCCCAAATTCATTCGGGTGCCATCAAAAGCGAAGATTTGCAGGTGTTTGCAGGGCATCATTTGGAGGAAAGAGAGGTAGGGGGTTGGACTTTTTCTGTATCCCAATTAAAGGTGGGATTGCTTAGCCACGACAGAAGAACGCTCAGACTCCCGTCAGCGGATTTTTTTTTTGCAGCCCCCTTTGTTGTCAGCAACCCTCGGCCGCTGGGGCCGCTCGGGATTGAGGCCAACAAGATGGCTCCAGCGGAAGTGAAGCCACAGGATGAGTCACAGGGTTTCCCATACCAACTGATGAGTCAGAAGTGGGGAAGGAGGGGACCATGGCTCGGAATTGGCTCGGGAAGCGCATGCTTTCCTTGTATGCCCTGGCTGGGTTATGCTGGGTTCTGTTCTTGGGGCGCATTCCGCAAATCGGGAGCCTCCATGGTGACCTTTTCGACTTCAAGCCATTTTTGGGGTGTGTCTCTTTTGAGGGTACCCTTTTGGCTGGCTTCAATAGAGACTTCTCCTTGGACCATGTTTTTTGAGGGTACCCTTTTGGCCGGTTTCAAAACGTGCATTTGGTCAAGAATATTTGATATTTCCCCCTGTTGATTTTAAAGGGAATCTATCACTACTGTAAAGTTTTGTTTTTTCAGGGGACTTAAGCAATTGGATGAAAAGAAAAACATCAAAACATCGCCACTTGTGGGTTTCTCCTTGGACCAAAACCCCACTTCAGACGGGGGGGGCAGCTCTCAGGTGGGGCCCCAGCGATGAAGACGACAGCGTCATCGACGAGGAAGGCGAGGAGCTTTCAGCCCTTTGGCCCTTCGCGGCTGAAAATGGTGGGATCGATCGGTTGGGGCCACAAAGAAAGCCGTGACCGTTAATGTGTGTCTTACGTGTTCCTTGGGCAAAGCAAGTTTTTGCCAAGAGGTTTCTTTATCATTGAGTAGTTGCATTTAGAGTCCCTCAGGAGATTCCGTGGAAGCTCAGGACCAGAACAGTAGACGGACGTAAGTATTTCGGTTGGGTAAATGCCAGCTGCGAGTTCCCACTTCAGCTAGGTCTTGTCTGCGGCTAGTGTAGTTTGTTTGCTTGCTGCTTGCTTGCTTCCTTGCTTCCTTGCTTGCTTGCTTGCTTGCTTGCTTCCTTGCTTGCTTGCTTCCTTGCTTGCTTGCTTGCTGGCTTGCTGGCTGGCTGCCTGGCTTGCTTGCTTGCTTTCCGGTTTGTCGTGTGCCTCGTTGGCTGGCTGCTGGCGTGTTTGCTTGCTTGTTGGCTTGTGTCTTGGTGCGTGTGTTTGTTTGTTTGTTTGTTTGTTTGATTGTTTGTTTGGTTGTTTGGTTGGTTGGTTGGTTTTGTTTGTGTTTTTTTGTTTGTTTGTTTGTTTGTTTGTTTGTTTGTTTGTTTGTTTTGAATTTGTGTATTTGTTATTTGGTTTGTTGTGTTTGTTTGTTGAGTTTGTTTGTTTGTTTTGTTTTGTTTTGCTTTGTTTTGTTTGTTTGCTTGCTTGCTTGTTTGTTTGTTTGTTTGTTTGTTTGTTTGTTTGTTTGTTTGTGTGTTTGTTTCTTTGCTTCTTTGCTTCTTTGCTTCTTTGCCTTTTTGTTTGGTTGGCTGGCTGGTCGGTTGGTTGGTTGGTTGCTGGGTTGGTTGTTTCGTTGTTTGATTTTACGTTGTTTCATTGTTTGGTTGTTTGTGTTCTATTTGTTTTTTGTGCGTTGGTTGGTTGGCGTGTTGGTTGGTGTGTGTTGGTTTGTTGGTTGGTTTCTTTGATTGCTTGGTATGTGTTGCTGCGTGGCTTCTGTTTGCTTGTGCATTTTCGTTTGCGGGCACTCATTGCATGAGTGGCCCAGTGAAACACGCAGCTTGGCTTGCTTCGATGCCGACATTCAATGAAGCCACCTAGCCAGTCATCCAAGCAACGAAACCAATCAACCAGCCAACCAAACAAACAAGCAAGCAACACAACTAAGCAACTGAATGGCTACACACCACAAAAGAAACAACCCAATGAAGACAGAAACAACTACCTGGAGTCTCCATGACCCTTTAAACATGGGGTCATTACCTAAAATCAAAGGGGTCATGGACCCATTTTTCAAGGGTCAGAAGGAGACTCCAGGCACTCCCACTGCAGCTTCGCTCTGCCAGGGCCGGACGTGCCGCCTCTGCCCAGTCAGGTGGAGCAGGAGACGGGAGTCGGACCCGTGCTGCGGGGCCGAGAAACGCGACTTGAAACAAGGGAAGCCGATGAAAAGAAACCAGCAGGAGATTCCAGATGTTCAGCACGTATTTTGATATATTTTGCAAGTGCAGGGGATTTCTTCCAGAATTTCTTGTGGCTGGTCTCCTAGAACTTGAAATCAACCCCCAGAAAGAGTGCCCTCAACAAGACATACCCGTGTATTGGGTTTGTCCTTTTTTGGAGAGTACCCCTTCTGGACCCCCTCGAAAGCCATCCCAACAATCCAAGCAGGTCGATTTTTTTTCAGAAAAGGTCACCTCCCGGAGGGATTGAGGTGCATCTGTTGAAGTGAGGCCACGTGAATCAATCGAGCCTGTCCGGTGTTTATATGACTCATGACTGTCATGTTTAGAATTGGGGCCTACTCTTCCTGAGATGTTCCGTTCACTTTTGATATTTGGGACTTTCAGAAGAACGCGGCTAAAACAGTGGCAACTGTTTTGCCCTAAACCCCCATTTGTGGGACTGCCACTGCCAGGGCTATATATCTTCGAGAACATATTTGTTGCAGACATTTATATGTTTCTTTCCTTGAAGTGATGCTGACTATATGTTAAACTGAATTCACCAGCTCATCATGCAAGCAGCACGCTTCTTTCCACATCGTCCAACTTAGGAGATAGGAATCATACATGCCGCATCACACGCATGTCAATATGAGAAGTGCAAGGAATGATTTACCGGCGTACAGAAAGCGCTGTCGCAAATATTGGGATGATATCTCATGTCGCTATCTTTCTCACTTAAATTTTGCCGTGCCCAGTGCCTCTTGTGACAATCAGTGTCAAGCCAGGAGAAACCATCATGCAGACTGCTGCAAGAAGTCCTGGAGACCTACCTGGTTGCTCTTTGCGTGCTTTTTGCGAGCGTCAAAGGCCCCCCTCCCCCGCCACCCCCCCCCCCGTCCCCCCTCCGCCCCCCCTCCCCCCGTGCCCCCTCCGCCCCCCCTCCCCCCCCCCCCCCCGGAGAAAAAATGAAATAAAATAAAAATAAACAGCGAGAAAGACGTCCGGGAGCCGCCGCGGCCGGCCGCCCCAAAGCCAAAATTGGCAGGTTGAGCCTATAGCTGCCGCTGTTGCAAGGAGGGTGCATTCAAAGAAAGGCACGCCGTTTTTTGAACATCATGGACCTCCAAAAAAGGCTTTGGGAGGGCTGGCGGGCATCACCTCTTACATCCTTAAGAGGCCTGAGGGGCTTATCCAAGTCTTTTCCAGGGATACGCTCCCTCCATAGCCCCCCTTGCATATGGGCGTTTCTCAGAATGGATTGCGGACCCCCTTTTGGTTGGCATATTTACCGAGGAACAAGAGGAAACTCACCGTTTTGAGGGACACCTATGCCCTCGCCGAGAGGAGATGGATGAGCTGCTGGCGCGGTCACGCGAATTTCAGAGCACCGGCTCCTGGAGCGAGGCCTTTCAAAAGCGGGGGTTGGTCTCTCGTAGTTCTTCGGCACTCCAGAAGAACCTTCTAAGGATTCTAGTTCCGGATGTGGGTATGGATGGGTCAAAATTAGACCACCAGGGGACCGCAGGTTTTAGTCCATGCTTCCATTTACCAGAGTTCCATTCTGGGTACCTATTTTTGACCCACAGCCATGTTCCGCGCAATTTTTGCCGGGGGGAGGAGTCTTCGGGAGTCCCTGGTATCGGCTACGTCCCCGAGTAGTGCCCTTTTACCCTTTTTTGGGGGGAGGGTTCCCCTACTTACTTAAAATAGACTACAGAAAAAAGGGCACCTTTATTAATTTATTCTAACCTCTCTACTGGAGGACTTAGTAGGAGTTCTACATGTTCCGCGCATTTTTTTCCGGGGGGGGGGTGTTCGGGAGTCCGGGTCCATATCGGGTACAAGGTCCCTTGGATTTTTGCTCTGAGCCGTTCCTAAAGTATGAAACCAAACTGGGTGGAACATTGGTTTGGCGTATGTTGGTGTCCCTCCACAAGATATTTATGCCCTTTCTGGTCGGATCTCAGCAACTTGGTTGAAACATTGACTCATTCACTTCACCATTCGTGAGTCATAGTGTATGTGGTTTTGGAAACTAACCTTCCACCAACAAACACCTCCAGCGCCGAAGCGCCTTGCTCAAGCGGAATTATGCTCAATCTTTCAAGAGGGGTATGGTATGGGCGCTTCCATGTACATGAGGGAGGGTTGTTTTTGATTTATTGGTCTGGCTTGTTCCAGTCGCTGGCTGTGTTTTGTGTTTTTGCTGCAAGTGTAACGGAGAGGGTCACTCTTTATGGGCGTTTTAAATCCTAATGGTTCCTGGGTTGCTTGCTTTGCTGTTTTGCAATGTGTTCATTTTAAAAGGGGTGGCTTCCCAGAAACAGATTTGTTTGTGGAAATTCCATGGGGGTTCCGATCAAGCCGTTCCCGGGGAAGCATGTGAAGAGAGTCATGTTCATTCGCTCATTTTGGGCGTGGTCCTCAGAGTTACGTTGGCTGATGTCCGTTTGACCGCTTTGAAATGTATAGTTTTGTTAAGGGTGTCATGTTCACGGCGCCTTTTTTGTAAGTTGTGCTCAGATTTTTTGTTGCTTCAGTTTTGGGAAGGCGCGGCTTGGTCTTGGCGTCCCCGTTTGGTGCCCCCTTTTGGATATGGTGTCCCACTGTGGAGTTGTGTCCAAATATCGGAAACACAACGTGGGATGGGTCTCCCTTTGGCTTCTCTTTCGAACCACCCCTTTTGCCTTCGCACTAGCACCGGCATCGATCTCCCAGGTATCCCGCGGGCAGTAGTCGCTTCTCCCTAAGAAAAAACCGTCCCCCCCTCACCCAAAAAATATATAATAAAAACTGGGGGGAGTTTTCATTATTAGGGGTCACCGGTTTGGGCCTAGATCCAGTTGATAAGTTGCTGTTTAGTATTGGACTTGTATTGGAAAGTGGATCTCCTTTGATTTGGAGCAAACACTGCTCAGATTGCAACTCTTAAGTAAGAACTTCGAAAGGGAGTGTCCCATGGTCAGTTTCATAAAATTATTTGCTTGTGTTGGGTGTAACAGACCCTAATAATAGAACTTTCTTGGGCATGTGTTTTTTGATTGGTTGCTATTTACTGTTGGACTTGCATTGGACTAGGCACTGCTTTGCCTTTGCAGGGCAGATCCTACTAGTAATGTGTTTGGAGGAACCCTTTTGATTTGAGGACTCCTGAAGGACCCATAATTAGGCTGTTCCTGGTTTGATAGAGCCCCAATTCTCCCAATAATAAAACCTTGTCGCACAAGGCAACCCTTGGGTGTCAAAGTAAACGTGGAGCCTTCTTGCTTCAACACACTCTGGAGAGGGGACCCCTAATAAGCATGTTTTGGGAGCTTGGTGGAAAGCATGTGTAGTCTCAGGAGTTTAGTATTGATTTAGTATTGGCCAACTTTAATTTAGTATGGCCGATTTTTTGCCCCGGCTTGGGAGTTTTATTATTAGGGGTAGGTTGATTAATAGGAAGAAGTTATTATGTTGGTGGGAGAAAGGCTCGGCCTCAAAAACACACCAACTCATTCCTTGGTGGCTCCCAGCCATCCCCTTAGCCTGTTACACTTTTAGTGTTTAGTAGGGGTTTCCATTTGACCCACAAACAGTTAAACTTTTAGCAGGGGATCTGAGGGCAGCCCAGCTTCGTACTGGTTGAGTTGGCAAACTTTCAACTTCTCGGTCAGTTGAGTCAGGCCCAAAAAGTTGAGTCAGGCCCAAAAGTTTGAAGATTGGTTGGCCAGTCCACTCAGGTCACCCTTGTGGTTGTGTTAAAGTGGGGGACCCCCCTCCTCCCAAAAGCAAAACCACAAACGAAACAATCAAAACAAACAAAGCAACAAACAAGACAAACAACAAAACAAAACAAACAAATTTCGAAGTGAATTGCTGTTGGTTCAGCCACCCCAAACCCAGGGTACCCTAGCAACGCCCCATTTTAAAGCGCATCCCGCCAGGTCCATACGCTCTCGAGCTACCAGTCACCCCCCCGGCGCCCCAACATGGTGCCGGGGCTCTCAGCTGGCGCGGGCGGGAGCCTAGAGGCAGAGTTCGCTTCCATCCGCTGAAAGGATTTGTTTTTTGACCCCCTGGTGTTTAAGGGAATCTATCACTGCTGAAAGGAACAGGTTTTTTCCCCCCTCTGTTTTTTGTTTGTTTCTAGGGATTCGATTTCCCTGCTGGACATATGTTTGCGCATTTTTGGGTGGGAGACTGAGCAGGTGGAAGAAAGATCAACTGGTGACCTATGGCAGCTTTTAGCCTGTTTGGCTCAAGATGGCCTTTGTTCTTTTATCAACAGAAGGGACTCTCCAGGTGGTTTGCTGTTGGTTTGCCTTCAAGACCTGAAATATCAGCCTGAAGCACCATGCCTCCACTTGCTTGCAGGATTTTGTTTGTTTCTTCTCGATTCTCAGAGAACTGTTCAATATCTTTCCTATGCTTGTCACGGCACCTCTATATAATTGTTCAATCTCACCAGCAGGGCCTTATAAATTGCGCCGTGGACCTTCCCAACAAGAGACTGTTGGGCCCTAGCGCTTTCCGATCCCACGAATTTCATTTCTCTGCGCCGAAATCGTGGCGGCAGAGATGGGAAAACAGGTGGACACTCCTGACTCGGGTCCCGCAGTGGACCAACTTTGAAAAGCTCGCTTCCTGGGCACGGAGCTTTTGGTTTTGGGCCATGTTTGGGCCAAGGTCTGAGTGTTCAATGTGGCACCATGATACTTGGTGGCTCCATGGTGGCTCCCAGTCATCCCCTTAGCCTTTTCACTGTTTAAGGTTTAGTGGGGATTTCCATGTAACCCACTAAAAGTTAAACTGTTAGCAGGGGATTTGAGGGCAGCCCAGGATAGTTTTTCCCTTTGGGGGATTCCGCGCAATCGGGTTGTAGCCCCGCTGCTCAAAGAACACGGGGTCCGCAGAAAGTCCCGACCTGGCGAAGCGTGTCAAGACCCACGCCTGCCAAATCATTCGGGAGGTTCTCAAAATGGTGGACCTCCGTTTGGTTGGCATTTAGTGGGAAACCAAAAGGAAACCAGCATGTTCGGACCTTTTGATCAACCCCACTCACTTCCTGAGTTTCTAAGCTTGATGCTTCTTGGGACCATTCTCGTGGCAAAGAGCATGTTTGGACTTTTGTGGGCCATCTCGGGAAGTGAGCCCAGGTAGATGTGGTTTCCCCTTCGCTCGGCAGGTACTTCCTCACCCTGCAGGAGCAGCGCTTGGCCACGGCGCCCATCGAGCCGCCCGCCCCGAGCCCCAGGCGCCGAAGGCCCCGGCGCCGCCGGAACTACGAGCTGCGGCCCGGCAAGCAACAGGTCGACCGCGGTCAAGGGATGTGGCAATAGGTCTGTCTTACAGTTGTTTCTACCCATTGGTCTTTTTTTTGTCCAATTGTCTTAGTGAAAGTTACTACATGACCCAATGATTTTTGTCTTTGTCCAATTGGAACACCAAAGGGGACGGGGTGCTGCATTGCTGCTACGTAGCCCAGTTGCTTTCTTTATCTGCAGAAGCGCAAGAAGGGACGGGTGTGCATTTATGTTTGTCACAAAAAGGGACAGGACTTGGGTGCCACATCGCCCAGTTGTGTTGCTTCTTTTGTTTGTAAAAGGGACGGTATGCATTTATGTTTTCCCTGGACCCCCTGTTTAGCATCCAGAGCCTCATCTATTTCTGTGCAGAAGATGGAAGGAGCTTTGCGTCAGAGGACTCCTGAAAGCCAACAAAGGGACGTATAGCATATATACATATATTAGATATAATATATGGGGGTTGATCAACATTCCTGGCCCTCAAATCAGCATGGGTAACTGTTCCTATTTAGCGGGAGATATCACTTTTATGGTGGTTTCCCCCAATGGTCATCCCATGTAAAGGACCTTTTGATCAACCCCCATATGCTTGAGATAGTATTCGTGTATATATATATATATATATACATACACATGTAGATTGCATACTCAGTGATATCTGCAGATTCCAGGGTTCTCCATCGTTTCAGAATCAGCACTCTCCCTCAGACTCGTTTTGTTGCCACGCAGCCCATGCCTCCGAATGTGTCCAAAATGAATCCAAGAGGCGATAAGTCATTTTTTTGTCAGTCCTTCTATTCGGATATGTGTCTCATTGCGCAACCTTTTTTCTTGATGGTTTCCCTCTAGAACCAAGCTGACAAGGACACCGCGCTTGCCCAATCCGGGCCGCTTCGGATCGCCGATCCGAAGCGAAGTTCTCAGGGACGCGCATTGCTGCCTCCGGGAGGCCCGCATCGCCGAGGAGGCCGAGCGATGTGTCACAGGGCTCCTACGAGCAGAGACTTGGGAACTGAAAAAACGACCCTTCCTTCTACCGGACCGAAAGCAAACCACCATTGGGGGGGGGGCATGAATTGTTTGCCAAGCCAAAAGGAAACGTGGAAAATGTAAGAGCACATGGAGGGGCGCGGTGGAGAGCAAGTGTAGCTTCTAAAGCCCAAGCCACATTGGTGTTCACGTTTTTTTTTTTTTTTTTCCCCCCCTTTTTAGGGGTTGTGGAATCTAATCGTCGCTGGTGCCCGATTCCCGCTTGGTTGGTTGTCTGTCTCAAGTGAACCTGACTAGAGCGTAGTGTCCATTGGCGCTGGATGAACAAGCGCCAAGCCCTCCATCTTCCCAGCCCCTGCCCACCTTCCAGCCTGATGACCCCTGGACGAACGGGGGCGAGGCGGAGCGGGGCCACATCCCAAGAAATTCGGGCCTGGAAGGAGCACTTTGCAGATTCGACCCCTTTCAGTTGATGGTTCCGGCTTCGAATCCGTAGCATTCATTGATATCTTCGAGCCGATTTCGTTCCGCTATTCCCTGTGAACTCGGGTTCAGCCAAGTTCCAATTTGTCGATTTCACCCTTTAACCGGATGTTTAAACAGGATAGGCGGTTCATCTTCAACACTTTGACAGTTCGTCTACCTACCCGATTTGTCTACCTACCCGCGTTTATCCAAACTGGAAGTGTGCTTGCGGGGAGTGGTGGTGGGTTTGCGGGGTAGGAGCCGTTGTATCATGGACAAATCCAAACGCTTGGTAAGATGCAAGCAGAGGTTCCCACCAATGCCTAAGTGAAGCCGCGGGTTGCAAATATGAACATAACTTTGGCAGACTCCTCTAAAGTACCGCCCAGTGACTTTGTTTAACTGTTTATTTGTCTGAGGTAACCAAAGGAACAACTACTACCCTTCAACAACTAAATGGAAAATGACAGGTTGCCTGCTATGTTGGCGAAACGCCAAGCCAGGCCAATCATGACCCAGGACCGAACAGGTTCCGGCGAGCTTCCCGGATCTGCCCCCCATTTCTCGCCATCTGAAGGGGCAAACTCAGTCTCCACAATGTAGTCAAACCCTGGTTGGATCTTATGTTTGTCTCTTTCATGTCCAGGGAAGCCCAAAGGACGCCACTCATTTTTCCCGGGAAACCGCAAGTGCAATCACGAGGATCCCCTTGGCCATAGAGTAATTTAATTTGCTAGCATGTACATTCCGCAGGCATGGGAGGGCTTCAAGCCTTGGACACTTTTGCGAGCGAAAACCGCTGAGCGCACTGGTCGCGCTAGGAACTTCCATCATTGGTTCATGTGTATTGCATGGTAGCAAGAGCCTCGTTCACCAGAAGCTTCGCGACGAGACCGCGGACAAGGAGAGTGGGCCTGCACAGGCGATGAGCCACGAAAGTGGCGCACCGAAGACACCATCCTGGAGTCGCGATCCCGCCGAGTTTGAGTCCCACGTCACAGCCTGCAAATGGTGTGTGAATGTCATCAAGGAGGCGGATCGGAAGCTGACGGTGGCCCGCCTTTGCGGCCAGTTGCATGGCGCAGCGGAGAGCGTCCTGAGACACCTGGAGGAGTTCGATGATGCGGACGGCTTGAAGCGGTTCTTGGAGGTGCTTCGCGCTTCGCCGCTTCAGCAGTTGCCAATCCCGAATTCGTTCTCGAAGTGGCACTCACTCAGGAAGGCCGACAAGGAGATTATCGCGGAGGTCATCATCCGCGAGGAGGAGCTGTTCACGGAGCTCCAGCAATCCCTCACCAGAGCCGAGGGACAAAGGAAGAGAGCAACCTGCAGTTGCCACGGCCGCTGCTCAAGGACCTGGGGGATCCCCCTCATCTACACCGGCTGGGAGTGTACTTGGTTTCTCAGCGAGATCAACTTCGAGGGAGCCAGCAGCGAAACAGGAAATGGTGGCTTGCCTTTTTGTGAGGATGCGCTTTTGGAGCTTCCAATTGTGGGGTATACATCGCCTCCAAATGTTGCGAAACGTTGGAACCCGAAATACCATGCAACTTTGGAGAAACATCACTCCCAGGACCCCTTGTCCGATCGCCGGGTAATTCCCTTCCGCTTCCAGTAGATCATCTAAGATAGTTGCCACGATGCCCTTGAGTTTGGGGAACAAAGGCTTTTGCCGTGGGCCCTCACAGAACCTTGGCTTCTTGGGTTTGGCATGTCATGCGATATGCGGCCAGGAAGCAGGATGACATCACAGTGCTTGCCGCCTGGGCGCTGATCTCACAGGTTGAGGGTAAGAGGGTTGAACATCGCTTGGGAGCTTCCCCAAAGACTGTCAGCCTGGACTCAAAACGGGCTCCTTCCAACCAGCTGACCGAGCAGAACCCACCAACAGGGGCCCAACATAATATGCATGAGGGCGGAAATCAGCGCCAATTTTTGGGTGGGACTGGCCCTACTGTTCAGCCTAATACGAACAAACTTCAACATCCTTGGGGACAGCTGTCAGCAATGAAACACCATGTTTCATTGATGTGCATTTCTTGAACTGGTCAGCAATGGATGAAATTGTGGTAAATTGACCCTCACATAATATGTTTGATAGTTGGATCTTTTGGGATGCAGCTCTATGTTGCAAAACTGGCTGCCCCCCTAGAACATCTCCGCCATCCGCAGAAACTAGGTGGCCCTTTGAACGGATCCATTAAACGGGTTCCAGCTTGGGAATGTTAGGCTCGCAACATCTTTGAGGAACCCCTGTTCATGAATCCCTCTAGAGGCCGTCGCTTGTTTCTCGCTGTCTTGGCGCCGTTGCGCCGAGCTTCTAGGATTTGCGCATCCGACGGACTGATGACGATCCTTGCACAAAGTGGGCGCATGTCCTGAGCTAGTTGGCGACCATATACACACATGCATGCATGCATGCATACATACATACATACATACATACATACATACATACAGACATACATACGTACACACATACATACATACATACATACATGCATACATACATACATACATACACACATACATACATACATACATACACATGCACACATACATACATACATACATACATACATACATACATACATATATACATACAGACATACACACATACATACACATGCATGCGTACATGCATACATTCATACATAGCAGTATCACGGCAGCTACAAACGTCCTCGATGAAACATACAACTCTTCGTCATCAACCCTCTTGATTTTGGCGGAATCTGCGCAGGTTCCTATTTTTATTCGCCTTTTAAGAATGGAGGCAGCCAGCTGAAATGACTTGAGTGTCTTCTTCCTTGCCATGCCAATGATTGCATCTGAGTTCTGACCTAATTATGACTTTTATAGAGGTGACACCTCTGAACGCGTAAATCTGAGTTGCAGGTTTTGCCTTGCGACCTGGAAGTATTGGCATGTACGTGTCATGAAGGGGAGTCCAGCAGAAGCAGCTCTCTGGCACCAGTCAATGTTTATGCTGTGCGTCCACCACACCCCTATTCCACACTCATGGAGGGCAAACCCCACAACAAACGGCAAGTGTGGTCTGTTCTGGGGGTCTGTGGGGAAAAGCTTTGGTTGTGACAAGTTGGCGTCAATCTACATGTTTCCTGATGTCCTGCGGTCGATTTTGACGGCACCCTTCTCAGTACAGTCTTCGTCTCTCAAATCAGGCACTGAGGTTACTTTGACCCGACAAGGGCACTAAGAAGCAGGGAGCAGGATTTGGCGGCATGTTTGTTTGCCCAGGAAAGTTTAAAGCACCAACCCCCGTACAGCGTGCTCATGGCAGGGTTTGCTGAGTCATCGACCGTTCCTGTGATTCCGAGCAGTGTCCAGTGTTGGTCCGAAGACTGCCATGCCTTTGATGAACAAACGCCAAACTCCTGTGCAAGCCTTGGCTGCTTAGGGTTATTATCAGCACGGAAGGACAGTCTTTGTATCGTGTTGGAGGACATGGCCCACTGGCGGTTTTCAAAATGATCAATTCAATTCATTGCTGCTGTGTTTCTTAGAACTGGTAGAGGGTGTGCGTTACCCAGTCCGCGAAGTCACAACATATGTTTGTGAATGCGCACGCCTTACAGTTACTTTTTTACCTGACTGGTCCTGCTTGAGTTTGCTGCCCTCAACACGGCTCAAGTGATCCGTGCAAACGGCCTCCTCGCAACCCGCTCCATCACGCTTACAGGCTGGATTGGGATTGATTGACAAGCACATATTCCTGGCGCGCGCTTGTTTTTTGCTAGAACAAAGATGCATACCATGAAATGGCATGCGCTCACGCCTTCCTAGTTGCACTTGCCCGCCTTGCTTCAAAGGACAATCGCAAGTCAGGACATTATTTGAAGCGCATCCAGCTTTGATCTTTGCTACTGGCGCAACATTGCTGCTGTGCTTCTATTGATTTGGGAATGGCTTACGCTCAGTACATATGTAATTATAGAGCATGTGATCACGGGAACGTTTGCTGTCTCTCGCACAGCCTTTCCCATAGCGAGTTGCTTTGCTGTCTCTGCACCATTCGGTGCAGAGCATAGCTTCATGTCACAAGTATTACGAACACGTAGGCATTGTAAGTTGGCTGTGCGACTGCTTAGATCCGCAACAGTCCTAGTTCCACGGATTGGCGTTCAGCGAGTTGCTACGCGGGATTTCGCTTAGGGTCGGTTCATGTTGATTCACGATCATTTGCTTGGGGGCTTCTGACAAGTTGATGGAGACCTCGGATCACGCGAGCTCGACCCGGCCATGGCAAGGCGATGGCGAAGGCCTTTCTGATGACGTTGCTGGAGGCCGGGCATACGTCCGCGGCTTCCGACTGCAGGTTGTTTTTCAGCAACCAATTGCATTGCAGTGTCATAAGGGCTGTTGAGAAGTCACGCGGCTTTCGAGACGACAATGCGATTCTTGTTTGGTGTTGGCCTTCTGCGCAGTTTTGGCAAAGGACACGGCTCAATGATCAGGGGGGAAGTGTGAAGCCAGCTTCCCAGGCGCGTGTGACTGCCCTTCTGGCCTGACAGGTGCATTGTTTTGCTTTGCTTTTGCCAACAGCTTCCAGTGGTTTTGAGTGATGGTTGCTTCCTAGTGGCAATGATGGCAGGTGCCGCACCAATGCTTGCAGCAGCGTGGCCTTGAGATTTTAACACATGCCCACTTGATCGCAACTTTGCCCCAGGCAAGCATCCGTAGTCCCTTCCTTCAGCCCAGTATTGCGCCCGCGCACCCCGGGCATTGTAGGTAGCCTTTGCGACACAACCCTTTCACATGCTAAAGTCCAGCTCATGAACATTGCCAACTGTAAACTGCAACCGGTGTCAGCGCCGTCAATGTTAATCACGCTGAGTCACCCTTGCCAGGAGTACGTCGACGATTGGCGCCAGGAGATGACAGACCTGGTGCGGTTTGTCAAAACCAACCCTGAATGCCAGGGGCAACATGCCCGATGGGTCTTGAAGGGCCCAGGCCTTGCTCATCCACCGTCCCACCAGCATCCACCCCACCCACCACCCTCTCCCATCCATCCTGCAAGATCCATTCCTCCCCCATCTGTGGCAAGCCTGGTGGCACCTTCACCCATTTGCCACCCCCCCTCACCCTCCTCCCACCGCCACCGCGTAGGATTCATAGGCCCTTCAAATGGCTGCCCATTATTTTTGTATAGGCAGAGTCCCCTGCACGGCACACACTATAGGCGCACACATACATACATATGTTCGTACATACATGCATACATACACACATACAGAAGATACATACATGCATACAAACATACAAACAAACATACATACATACATACACACATATACATTGTGCAGACATGTACATACATGCACATACATGCACACACATGTGCACACATGTAAATACGTGAACATACAAACATGCATGCATGCGTACATTTCTTCCTTCCTACCTACCTACATACATACATACATACACACACATAAACACATACACACATACACACGTTCTCAGACACACACGTACGCACATACATACATACATACGTACTTACTTACCTACTTGCTTGCTTACTTACTTACTTGCAGGTGCATACATGTACATACATGTACACACATACATGCATACATACATACATGCATACACACGTACACACGTACACACGTACACATACATACGTACCTACATACATACATACACACACCTACATCCACACATGCATACATACTTAGATGCAAACACACTTACTTACAGGTACCTACATGCACATATCTACATACATGCATGCATGCATACATACATACCGACATACATAAACACATACCTACATACATACATACCTACATACATCCATACAGACAGACAGACAGACAGAACAAGACAGACATACATACCTACCTACCTACCTACCTGCGTGCATGCATGCATACATACTTACACACGTACGTACTTACGAGCGTACGTACACACATAATGACGCAATGCAGACGCATTATGAACATTCATTTACAATTGGACACATCATCTACAGCACACGTGTACATACATACCCATACACAGACACAAACATACACATACTTGACACATGTGGTACGAGAATTGAGAACAAAATGCAAGGACAGGCCGAAGCCCGTCTACGCCACTGCAGGTGAGCTCGCCAGTGAAGAAGTTGGAGGGCCAGGTGCACCGGAGTTTGTGGTAAGCAAGTCTCCTGTACATGGAGAAGAGAGAAGAAGAAAGAGGAAGACAGAAGAAGAGAGAAGAGAGATGAAAGAAGAGAGATCAGAGACGAGAGAGAGAGAGCGAGAGAGAGAGAGAGAGAGAGAGAGAGAGAGATGGAGGGAAGGAGCGGGAGAGGAGTGGTCTGGCTGAATGAAAGTGCGGATTCATTGGCAACACCCTGCTCAGCTGTCGCCTTGGCCCATGTCAGGCACTCAAGAAGGTATCGCGGATCTACTTGCAGTTCTATGACTGTGAGCCAATTGGTAAGGCGAGAGTCGCTTGAACCCCACATCCTCGTCCAATCCCCGGTTTGTGACAGGTCAAGACTTCCCATTTCAGACTTCCTATGGAATCCCTGGTCTGGGACTGCAATAGCAACCTTGGTTTGCCTTTCGTCATAAATTTCAACAAAGCAGTAGCGTGTTTACATATTGGTGTCGGGAAGTTGTCAACAGTGCTAGCGCGAGAGTGAGCGGCAAGTTAACATTCAAATCTAAATCTTGGCTCGAGAGGCGGATGCCCCGATCTGATTAACATGGGTGCCCAGTGTTGTGCGTGTGCGCCTTCAAAGGGTTTTTCGTTCGCGCCTGTCATTGCATTCTTCTTCAGCAGCAGCGTTCACTGCCAGCCAGTCTTTTGCCCTTTTGGTGTTGTACTGTTTTCGTGCTGCGTTCCTGTGATGATCCAGGTGTGCGCTGAGTTTTGCTCACAAAAATATTGGTTCATGGCTTATGAACATCCAATGCATCTACCCTTGGCCTGCTGGTCTTCCGTGCTGAACGAAGCCGCCATCCTAGGGTTGGTCCGCTCCCCTTTCGCGGGGCAGCCTAGCATGGTCGGCGAGCAGCTCTGAGGACGAGACTTTTCACAGAAACCGCCTTGAAATTTCGACAAACAAACAAACTTCCCCCTAAAAATAAGGAGTCAATCAGCCCCATCAAGCCAAAGGGACATATTGCAAAACAACGGCTTCTCCCTGAAGCAATCACCTGGTGGCTTCGTGGCTTTCCATCAAGTCTCTATTGCTGAGTTCCGTAGGAGGTAGGTGCGACAGGCCCATTTGACGTTTTCCCAGACCCATGTTGGCTGTAAGGCTGCAACGGGCCAATTGCTGCGACACACTGTTTGACGGCAATTTGTGATTGCGTTGGCACCAAAATGATGTGTCTCAAAATGTGGCGCTTGCTTGGCCCGAGATAATCAAACTATGGCTTCTTCAAAGTGCGGGCCTCACCCCAGTGACAAATTCACGTCCAAGCGTTTTCGCTAGGTTGTGCAGCTTGTGGCCAGCTATGGGAGCGACGCTCAAGCTTGGTGCGGCCCTGGATGGAGTGGCGATCTAACGGCAGCCGGTGAATATGGAGACCTTGCTTCGTTCTTTCACAGGACGGTACTACACCAACGTGACCGGAGAGAACCCCTTGCGGCGGGCCAGGGAAATGGACATCACTGGTGCTGAAGCTCGGGTGGAACCACGGCTAGCGAAGGTACCGCGCCAAGAACCACCACAACCGAACCGGAACCTCAAGCGGCACGACGAACCTCATCAGCACCACCAAAGCGAAAAGACCCAGAACCTCAAGAATCATCTGGGAGAAACCCGGATGATGACACACAACCAGCACACGAAGACCAGCCATTGGGAGCAGGAGATCCAATTTCCCCAAAAAGATCTGCAAGAGTTGCTTTGCTCCCGGGTGGTGGATGGACTTGAGGAAGCCAACTTCCGGAGGACACCCTGCGCTTCATGAAGACGCATCTGGCAAGAAGCTCTCGTGGACACCATATGGAGGACGCGTCAACATGGAGGAGAATGAGATGATGGACGATGAGGCAATGAGCTCATCATCAGAAGAGTTGGCAACCACACCTCTAAAGACAAGGAGCGACGTGGTCGGAAGAGAGAGCCCGACGCAGAGCGCATCCGCCCAGACAATCACCGCCAGTTGGCTGCAGGGCACCTTCCAGCTCGGGAACAGCAGGGTTTTGCCGCGTCCGCTTCATCTCACAAATCAACTTGATCGTCTCCGCCGTGGCGTACGGAATCTCTGACAGCAGTAAGCTGATATCAGCCTGATATTGGGGGCTGGTCTGAGATGCCCGCCAAGCTGCAGATCCAATCGCACCGCGAAGTTGGCTAACCTTGCGCCATGTCGAACTGCTTCTTCTGCTGGAGGCTCAGGGTCTGCCGTCGGGCCCCTTGGCCCTTCACCTTCATCTTCTTTGATAGCCAAATGGCTGCTTTCCGGGGGCGTTGTTGCAGAAACTTCACCTCCGGCGGAATAACCTCCTCCTTGCCAGCAACTTCAACCGACCGGACAAGGGCAGCACGATGGGCATCGTCGCGGGAATTGCCCCGAACGACATCATGCGCGCGAAAAAGCAGCCTACGGCTTTGATCCACTGGCGGTCAGCAAAGACCCCAAGGCAGTGCTTGGGATCCAATAGAGCAGAGGTGCAGGCCATCACGGAGGGCAAGGACCTGTGCTTTCGTCTTCGAGCACTCGTGGCAGAGATCAACGGCAAGCACCTCACGCGGGAGAACCTGAAGACGGTGAACGACTTGAAGACCGCGGGAGCACTGGTCATGGACAGCCGAGGAATCTATGACTCGGCCACAAGGAACATCTCCTCATTGCACGGCCTTCGCAGCGGCCGAGCCGGATATGAGCTGACTCTGGCGGTCAGCCATGCCCTGAAGATCAACACCGCTCAATTGGCAGACTGCTTGACCAAAGGCCGTGCGGCCAAGAAGATGATGCTCGACTTCATGGCCGGAGGGCAGAAATGGAGTTCGAAGTTCACTGCAGGCCGCAAAGTCAAGAAAGCAGAGCTGATGATGAAGCTGCAGGAGCAGAACACCTAGATCGTGAAGGCGATTCAGCGCTTGGCAGAGCAGAACAGGTGGCCCTGGAAGACGCCGGAGTCCGAGGGCATTGATGTAGCAAATTCGAGGGTTTTGGGGGATGCAACCACGAGGATCCCTTTGGCCATAGAGTAATCTCATTTGCTAGCATGTACATTCCGCAGGCGTCGGAGGGCTTCAAGCCTTGGACAGACACTTTCGCGAGCGAAAACCGCAGAGCGCACTGGTCGCGTTGATGTGTGTTGCAGCAAGGACACCGCTCATTCTGGGGCTTCCCGCACGCGCGCGAGTTTGCGAGGTGTCTGCGCGGCGCAACGGCACGCCCCCCAGAGCCACGGAAGAGGCTTGTGAAGCGATTCGGATTCGTGGGGACATGGGTTGTAAGCCATGGTTACAAGTACCCTGCCCCAATGAGTAGTGTCATAATCTTACGGACCTCATTTGGATGTTTCAAGGGGGACCAACAGCGAACCAATCGTATACAAGGTCACTTATTAGGACTATTCTGAAAAGGGTCTTAGTTCAACTCGGCTGTTCGGGAGTCTTTTCTGTCGACTGCTGTGAATCAACCTGCTCGATGAATACCCGGGGTCTCTCAAAAAAGGGAACTGGTTTTCCTCGTAAATGCGACCCTCCCTAAGTCAACCATGGAGTCTGCTGGCTCAACTGGGTTCTCGTGTGGGATCTCTTTTGAAATGATTTGTATTTCAAGGTTCCCTAAAAAGGAACCAAAATCAAAGATGCTACTTTGTTGTTGGGGGCAAACCAAAGGGTGGGTTAGGTGTGATGAGTTCCTGTACAAACCTTTGTGCACATTGCCAGACTGAGCTGTTTTGACACATACCTGTGCTTTCGAAGGACGTTTGCATCCCGGTTCCGATGTCCACTGCCACACTTTTGCCGGGCCGCATTTCGCCCTTTGCCCTTTCGAGTTTCCCCCAAATATATCTAGGTCTCCCAGCAGTGCCCTTTTACCGTTTCTTTTTGGGGGGAGCGTTCCCCTGCTAAAATAGACTACAGAAGAAAGTTGGCACCCTTATTCTAATCTCTCTACTGGAGGACCTGGATATGTTTCACCAGGTAACACGCGTAACTTGGGTTTTTTTGGGGTCGCCTTGAAGGACTTCCGTCGGCGTGTGTGCTCAACGCTTTTTAAGGGCGATTCAGCAACACTGCTTGTCTTCGGTGCATTTTGCCAAGGGATGTTGGGACTTTAACTTGTTGCCAACTTTTAGGGGTTTTACAAATTAAACCAATAAAAGTTAAACTTTTAGCAGGGGAGCAGAAAGCAACCGAGTTGTGGAAATCCACAGGTCTTAGGTTGAAACACCCGCAAGCTCCTTTGCTTTCCCCTGGGCCAAGTGTTCTTCGCCTTAGAATCGATTGGATCTTCCGTGCGTCAGTTCTTGATTGAAGGGCATGCAGGAAACGAGTTGAGCAGTTAGGCTGTTGTTTCTCGGATGGGACAAACCCCATCTTCCCAGAGATGTGTCTGGGGATCTTAGTTCTTTGGCCAGGCATAGCCGACGTTTGTGCCTTTCGCCTTTCTGGGTCCCGAGTCGAAGACCAAGGAGTCCCTGATCTTCTAGTGTCCCCATCGATTTTCTCCCCTGTGGTTTCCTTCTGGTCTCCTTCTGTCTTCCCATGCGCAAAACGACCACCTTGTTCTCCTTGGCCGGCTCCGTTGTTGTCTCCACGGTAAACGCAGATGCTACCCCAGTTAGGAGGCATTTGTGTCACCGGCAAAGCCAGTGGACCCCTGAAATCAAGTTTTCGGTTGTTCACCTCATTTGCAGCGAGAGCCCCGTTTCTTTTGCCCCCATCCGGTTCCTTTGGCACACACACACACACCACCAGCCAAAGTGGAGGTCAAGCAACCGGTTACGGGTCGGAACAATCCCGATCAACTGCAAAACCATTGAAGGCGCAGAGTGCTACACCGACATTTGGCCCGAAGACACGAAGACAACAAAGTAATGGTGGAGCTGAGTCTGAGCCAAAGATGTATTCTTCTCATAGGGGGGTAGCCCATGGTAGCGCAGCAGACCAGGGTTTGAATACTCAGCTGGCCATGGGTCAAAATCCAAATCGTACCCCCAGTGAACATCCCAATCCCCACTAAAATAGGTTTCAAAATGGGTGGCGAATTCACCTACACCCGAACTGGGATCCCAAATTGACAACCACAGCCAGCTCAAAGGACTTTCTCTGCTTCTCCTTGGCCAGGTGCACAAAGTCGAGGATCGGCGCCTTGGCCAAGAGTTCCAAGCTATTTGGGGCCGTGCCAAACCAAAGGATCCCCCGAATGGCGGCTTTGCCCTTTCCGCGTCCCTTTGAATCAAGCTGAAAAGAGTACTTGCACAAAACACACAGGAACGGCTTGTTTCTAATTAAAAAAAACAGCAAGGGATCGAAAGTTCTAGGGAACCAGCACACCCACATGCCGTTTGTGTTTCCCGACACTCTTTGCACGTCATAAACCGACCATCTCCGGACTTTGACCCGTTCATGGTTTTGACCCAAGAACAATCCCGAAGGCAAACCTTCGGTTTCACCCTGTCTTGTGAGATCTTTGGCCGAATGGTCAAGGTCGTTTCTGAGCCTTCTCACCGGGCTATTCCCACATGTACCCTTCCTTGCGTGAGTCCACCTTCCTGAAAGGGATTCCTGGCGGCTGATTCTGCAAACTTTGGGGGCGCCAGTTAGGCTTGGACCAATTTTGGCGGAGTATCTCACATGGGCAAGTTATAGCGATCCCACCTGGCTGAAACAAAAGAGCTGATGAAGGCCCTTTACTTAGGGGTCTCAGGTCCAGTCTGGAGATTCCACGTTGCTCAGCTCCTTTTTCATCTGCGTCCACAGATTGGCATGCAACCCAAAAAAGGTGGTCTCTCCCACAAGATTCCTCCAAACCTGGACGTGGTTTTTGGGCTCCAACCTTTCAGCTGAGGCGGCTCTTGCTAGATAAGCTGCGGCCCGAGGCCGGCCTGCGGCTTGCTTTCGGAGTCCTTGGGTGTTTCTGTGGTTCGTGTTGTGTGAAACGCAGTAGGTGGTCTTTGCTCCAGGTTGTCCTCTTGGGCAAATTGATGGATTCCAGAGGTATTTTTAGCAGAGCCAAGGAGCCAGTGGAATCCGTCTATTCTGAACCACGCTGACCGAAAAGGGTGTAGTACACCAACGGAGTTGGTTTGTTCATGCCTATTCCTTTCGTTGGGGTTGGGGTAGGTTGTGTGTTTCTTGGCCACTGCCACTTTGGTGCGGTAGGAAGCCCGTGCCATGGTACAAGCAGAAGCCAATTTTGGGGATTGCGCTGCTTTGAGGTCTTTGCTTCGTGGCGAGTTGCCCAAAAGTACAAGCTCTAGCCCGACTCAGCTTTTGAGCCAAAAGTTTGTATGAAACGAAGAGCTTCAGGAACACAGACTGTTTCAAGGACTATATACTTAGGGCGCAATGTTGCCGGGTGTGTCTTGAAGATTGATAAGGTCCCCCCCCCCCAAATCAATCAACCAGAGCGTTGTTGCACCCCTGATGGCTACATGTTTGCTCTATATATCTGGTATGTAGCGAACAAGGGGGGCATGGTTCGCTAACGACCCAAGTGCCCTTGACAGTTGTCGTGGGACAAAGCGTCACGAACAAGATCTGCGCGAGAAAGGCCTGGGCCGCTTTCTGCGATACCAAGGGTGTCCCCTTTGAGGTCAGACAGTCGTGGAGAGTGGGGGGATGACACAATCATTGTATAGAGCAACCATCGCCCAATGCCGCAGTTTTGACGGCGCATGAGCCGTACCAGATCCTCCAGTGGAAGCCCCATCTGGACACGTGAAGATGAAGTAATTAATGAAGCAAGATTCTGGCTGTGACAGCCCACGATCGCGGCGGCGCCGTCATGGGACGAATGCGTCCCGCACCAAGCAGTCATGCAAAACAGGCTGACGAACACGATGGCCGCCCTAAGGGAAGGCGACATTTGGGCGAAATCGGTGGGCACGAGTAGCAGGGCAACCTGCGCTGCCACACTCTCAGCACCTTCTTGTGGGGTGCAGTGAGAAGCGCAACTCTGTTCGGGAGCGCTCGCATGTTGATATGCTGGGTGCTCACAAAAGATGGAGCCCGCAATATTGTTGCTGCCATGGGAATGTTTGGCTACGCCACACAGCTGAGGAGGAAAGGCTTTGAGACATGGACAGATGGTGACGAGAAGAAGCCGAATTGCTTGTCATTTCAGGCGTGGCTGATCACCACATCAACGTGGCACTGAAATTGAAGAAGCCGAAGGACCACAATGGAGGCAGTTGACAGGGATCCCTATGTTCCCCTGTTGGGCTACATTAGAATTCATTCACGAAAACCAAGAGTTTCCTGAACCCAACTTGGGGCCAACCACACGGAAGTCGAAGATATCCAGAGGCCCTCTCCGAGTGCAGGTTCCCAAGTTCCCCGCAAAGACGCGAGCTTCCCGCATAAATCACCCTGTATCCCCTGCATAAATCAAACAAAAGAAACAACTCAGCAGCTTTCCTGGAAGTCATGTCAAGACAAGCTTTGGCAGCAAGTTCCATGCACACATCAGGAGGTACCCTGCGCAGCTGTCCTGCACATGAGGTGGAGAAAAGTTCTCGCCCAGGCGCGCGCTTGGAGTCCTCTGCGCGCCTCTAGCCCCAGGAAGACTCCCGGAGGCGCGGGAGAGGGCGGATGTTCTCGCTGCGAGAGATGCAGGGCATGGGAAAGGGAATGACCCGGAGGAAAGAAAAAAAGAAAAAACAAACATGCAACTGGTGGTTTTCTTTTATTTGGGAATCCCTGGGTTCATTCCCGAATTGCCTACTGAGCACTAGCAAGTGTTACGGGAACATGGCCTCGGTCATGTTCCATGTGGACAGGGTAAGGGGTCAAATGTTAGTCAACTTTTCGCTCTGGGCATGACTCAATTTGAGGTTGAAGCCCACAACACCTTATTCTGATGATTAGGGCTCGGATGGGTACGTGACCAATCTCTGAAGGTTTTGGGGTTTTTGTTCAGTGAGGCTCGAGGTTGCACCCGGGCTTATCTCTTTGGAGGCATTCCCTGTCAAGCTCACCCAACCCAAAAAGGGGTCTTCATATCTTTGGTGCATTTTGCCAAGGGATGTTAGGACTTTAACTTGTTGCCAACCAATGGGTGTTCCGTATTAAACCACTAAAAGTTATTCACTCTTAGCCGGGCTTCGCAGATTTCGCAACCGAGATATGGCCACTGACCTGGGCTGAACGTGATCCAAGTCCAAGAGATATGGGTTTGAGAGGTTGACAAGGATGATGGGTGAACCGAATCGGGGGTCTCCCAAACTAGTTTATGGGAGGTAGACTAAATATGGAACAAACTCAACAGATTGCTTTTGGTTTGCCCCTATGAGCAAAGAAACTGAGAATCAACTAGGACAAAAGCCAGTCCCAGTATTTGGTGACCATCGATCGGTGAGGTTTTGCATTTCTGCGCCATCCGCGAAATCACCTTTCTGAAAGAAACTTCCGCCGGACCCCAGCCATATCATTACCCTTGTGCGAATTAATGGGTTCTTTCAGAGCCCTAATCAAATTCGGGGGTTACCATAACATTATGGTATGATCTAAATGTTTCTGTTCAGATGAAGTCTGCAAATACAGCAAGCATAATTTCCAACAGGGTGCTAATCCCGCGCAAATGAGACAAACAAACAAACAAGGCATGCAACCAACCGCATAAACACGCAATCGCAAGCAATGTACAAACATGAATAACCACATCAAGCCAAAGCAAACGCCAACCGTCCTGTCCGCTTCCATTGTTGGAAAAGGCTCTGTTGATTTGGCCATGGGTCATAACCTTTGGCTCCATTTTGGGGTGGATGAACATCCCTTTTGCCACCTATTTTGATATTCACCAGGGGTACAGGGTTTTGACCCACAGCCATTTGTCTTTGGTGCATGTTGCCAAGGGATGTTAGGACTTTAACTTTTTGCCAACTTTTAGGGGTTTTCCGAATTAAACCCCGCAAAAGTTATTCACTTTTTCTGCCGGGCTTCGCAGATTTCGCCACCGAGTTTGTTTCAAGCTGATTGACCACCGCCCCCCCCCACCGCCTGGCGTCGATTGGGTCCGCTGCTTATCTCTCGCAGGCACCGCCTCCACTTGGATGGGCTCGGAGATGGAGGTTGAGCCGCCCAACACGGCCTCCACAGATGCGCGGGAGGCCGGCCGGAGGCAAAACGGTGGGGTTCTCCAGCTACCACAGCAAGTAACCAAGACCCCCCTGCCAGAAAAAGAAACTCGGATATTCCTGGTGGCTTTCTTTTGGTTGCTTGCTATATATGTGTCTTTCTTAGCATAGGTCTGTCCATGAAGCGATCCGCCATTTTGAGAAACCACCACGTTGTACAAGCCAGGCAACCAGACAAGATGGAATTGTAGCGGCTGGCCTTCACCAGGGAAGAGCATTGGCTTGGGTTTCGTTGGTGTTGCACGGAGCTTTCTGTGCGTCGAGTTGGAGCAGCCCGGTTTGTGAAAACAAGGGTGCGCGGGTGGAGTTGGACGCGTGTGGGGTGGGTGGGTTGGAGGGGTTGGGAGGGGTTGAGAGAGGATGGCGCGAACTCATCCGTGTGGATTGAGACCATTCCCACAGCTAGGACATGGCTCCCCATGTCTCGTCGCCCATTTGGAAGCCACCAATGTTCCGTGAGGTTTGGAAAGCGACCAACGTTTTCCTGAAAAGAATCCCTGAGAGTGGCAAGGGAGCTTGTGGCTTTGATGACACCGTGTTTTTTGTCTTCTTCTTTTCGTCTGAGTTGATGATGGCCTTGCCAGCTGAGATTCCGAAGGGCTCCAGCCATATCTCCCATTAAACCGGCTTTTTGCATCTTATTTGGAAAGGAAAAGGCAGATTGACGTTTGGTCGGCAGAAGTTTAGATGGGGGAAGTTAGGGAGATGTCTCAAGGAGGCTTTCTACCCCCTTTTGCCATTCCATGAATCAGTGCCTAAGACCCGGATGGGTAAGGGATTGGGAGCAGTGGGCGCATCTTTGGCATGCTGGAACTAGCACAGTGTTTCTACTGTCCAAGTCAGACCCCAAGCAGTAGGCTCGAGGGAGATGACCGAATCCTTGATAGCCATTCCACATCATTGGCCAGGGGGCAAGAGCAACCTTTGAATCCACAGTGCCCTCGCAAAAGCAAACGTGGAACCTGAAAGAAGGTCCCTGCTAGGGAAAAGTTGTCCAAACCAGGCGGTCCCTTGGTTCCTCCCTTTGTTCTGCGGGTGTATTGATTTTCTAGTACGGTTTCCAGGAAAGTTCCGGGTGCGGTTTACAGGAAAGCGGTCATGATAGGTAACTGTTTGACGGCCAAATGGGTGTGATCCCCCCTTTTGTGTCAAAATCGGGGGACCCACAAAAATATGATTTCCCCATATTTTCCCACGTTTTCCCTTTATAGGCTTCTTATTTTTCTACCGGCCCGAACCTGGGTAGCAACCGAGCTTCCCCGCTCGCTCGCAGGCAACGGAGCTTCCAGGCCTGGGCGTGGTTTTTGTCTGCGTCCTGTGAGCGCTGCTTTGGCAAGCAGGGAGGATTTGCGGCGGGTGTCTTAGCTCCAGGCTGGATTCTAAAAAAACAGAAAAAAAACTCACCACCAGGCTCAAACACCCATGGGTGTGTGGTGAGATCATCCTAATCTCAAAGGTGCAATTGGTTTCCGAGTTTCCATCGAACATTTCGCAGGTACTGCCCTTGTTGCCTTGTTTTCTACTCATCGTGGCTCTCCGTGGGTTCGTGCATCTCGGTGTTCGTTGGAAGGCCGCGCGCTCCCCGCGGTTTCGCGGTTTTCGGGTTGGGCAGTCGGCAGGCCTGCGCCTCACTGGCTCACGGCTGGTGACCACCAAGGAGCACGGGGTGAAACCTGATAGGCCATCTCTACTTGGTGAACTGGGTTTGCTGCAAGGACTAGGTCCCCCAGTGCCCTTTTCGTTTCTAAATTAAATCCAGAGGATCCCAACCCCGCAACCCCCAAAGCGGATTGCGGGATTTGGGCCGCCGGTCTGCGCCGAAGGAGCGGCGGCGCTGCAAGGTGCCCTGGCTGCCGCCTCTGCGGCAGGTGCCAGCGCCGAAGCACAGCCGGGGTCCCTGCTCCCGGCCCGGCGCATTCGAAATTTTGGTAAGTGGAAGGGTTAAGAAAGCCTCTGACTGGGGCTTGGTTTACTTAACTAGCGCCTTGCGCAAGGCAGGGTGCAGTGAGCATCGAAAGGGAGGTGGATTGGACGCATTTTCCAGAGGTATCCCATGGGTCTTCACAGCTGATGTACAACAAAAGGACCCATTTGGGCGCTGCTACATGGAAGCCGCTGCACGGGAGCTCCACTTCTGTCAGGAGCCCACCTGTTTCTCGACAGGTCTGGCGACGCACCCATTTGGTACCCATTACCCGCAGAGCGGTTGTAGGACGTGTGTCGTTTGTTGCTGGTTGGTTCTGTCGATTGTTTTTCGGCGGGGGTTCTGCAGGGGAAAAAAAAAAACATGGTGTTTGCAGATATAGTAGAGATTGGGTAAGTCGAACAGGTGGCAATGTTTCAGCAGGGTGGCTGAAAACTGCATTCATCTTTTCGATAAAATTGCAAGCTGCTTTTGTGGTTGAGGCCCTTCTACAATCAATTATTTCCTTTCATTGCCCCTTTTAAGCGCACCCAAAAAGGGTTGCCGAGCCTCACAGGAACAAACAAAACCGTTCCCAGCGGTTCAGCTGCTGGGCTGCTGGTTCCGCACGTTTTGCTCTTTCAACGCGACTCCCTGTTGACAGTTGGTCAACCCCGAGAAGAGATGGTGAGCTCCCTTCCAGCGATCGGTTTGTGGGGCACCCAGGCGTGCTCTCGGCCAGAAACAGCCGCTGGATGCAGGCGGAGGGAACCGAGCGTACCGATCGCACAGGGGGCTGTGATGTTTGGTATCCCTGTTTGGTATTGTGTCAAGCGACGAAACCTCGGTGTTTCGCCTTGGATATTTTTTGTTGCGAATAGGTTGCTTCGAACCAGTTTGTGGATGGAGGCATGCTTTGTGGATAGGTTGAGCAGGTCTGTGAAAAGGACATGAAGCCTCCATCAATCAAGGGCCTAAGGATTTATAGGGTTTTTTTTTTATGTGCTTGAGGCAATAGCCATCTCAGCCAACCCGCGGCAAGTGGACAACAAAGATCTAAGTTGGTGTGTCATTCTTCCGTGGTTTCGGATGGAAATTGGCCCGCTTTTGGTAGCACCAGAAGCAAAGCAGAACGTCAACGACAGATCCGCCCGGATCCCTACTTAGTTATCAAGTGTTCATGACCCCTGGCCCGATGATCAAGTCTCTTGGGCGGGTTGTATTTGAGACAAATGCTACTTCTTTGGTTTCACTCGGGTTCTTAGCCACTCCGACAGGTGGGAGTGGAAGCCGCAAGTGTTTCCCGCGAGAGGTTGGCAGAGGCCCTGGGAAAGGCCCCGGCTTCCGCCGGCTTACTGAGCCACTGACTGACTGTTCTGCGGCGGCGTTTGAAGGGGCAACCCAAAGTTCAAGCAAAAACCGGAGGGGCCGAGCCGCCATTTTGTCACGGGGGTGAGTTGTGGTATGAGGGTTAAAGGAGAAACACCCTCCAAATGGAACTGTAGTTCCAATTCATGAACATTTGCAATTGTGGCCTTTGCCCGATGCCGTGCAACGATTTCTTGCCAGGAGCCGCTGTGAAGTGTACAGAGCGTGGTACAGAGCGGCAGCGCCACTGCTTTGTCGACTGTTCTGTCAAAAAGTATTGGGGCAAAACATGCTTTGGATTTTTGATAGAGTGAGTGTCCACCCCAAAAGAGTCAAGGACCTTGTAAGAGGGGTTCAGTACTCCTGGGCTTTCATTAAGGGGCAGACTAGTTGCAAGCATGATTCTTCCATGATCATGAGGTATTTTGGTCAAAAAGACCCCCCACAACGCCTTTCTACTTATTCGCGCCCTAACAAGCGCGCCATTTAGAAGAGTTCTTTTTGGTGTGTGACTTGTTTTGTTAGACTTTCAATCACGCACTGAACGACCATGGCAAGCCTGGCGGCGAATTGCTTTCGAGCGCTCACGCAGGGGGTCAACACGGCCCATGCGAGTTGCACCATCCACAACAGATGTCTTGGAGATCTGGTTAGGTCCCCTCTGTTGGCTTGTGTCACACCCTAGCAGCAGAATCAACACATGATGCAACCCCTAACCTGGAAGGGTGTTGGGATGGTGCCTTTCATTCGAGCAACGGACAATCTATGTGGCAGTTTCCGGTTCATTTGAAAAGGACATGTGGAAAGTTTGACCATCGAATTGCTGGTGCTCAGGGAATGAGGGAATGACCCCTATAAAACATTCCTTTGTAGTTTCCTTGAAGGCGACCAATTTCTGGCTTCATTCCCACATGTCCTGAGCACCAGCAAGTTGAATTGTTACACACAAATATTGTCCGTGGCTCATTCCAGAGCTCCAAAGGATCTCCGGAAAAGGCGAAAGGCGACGTTGGAAGCGCTGGGTGGTGTTCAGGGACCCAAGCCCCGAAAGTAAGCCTGAGGATTTACGGCCGAATCGGCACCGCTGGGAATTCTTCTGGGGGGATTTGGATGTCTCTTTTGAAGGGAAACCCGTCCTCATTGGTTTCAGAAACGAAGGCAAGACCAACAGGAAGAACGAGGTCCTTGTTCTGGTTTCCCGAGAACGAGGTCCTTGTTCTGGTTTCCCGAGTTTGGAACATCAAATGCTTGGAGTATGACATACTTTCTAAGGTCTTGACTGGTGGCGAGGTGTTTCTGTGTTGGTTGCTTTCTTGTTTTCGTTGGTTTGCCTCGCATATATATATATATATATATATACAGTACAGAGGCTGCAAACAAAGCATGTTGCGCTGACGAAGGCATTGGGGGTCCCCTTCTGGATCCGGGTTGCCCTGCCTCTTGGCGGTACCTCTTGGGCCAATTGGAGTTGCGGTGCTTTCTGGGGTGCTCAGGAACATGTCCCAGCTGCCCCCTGGCAGCCTTGTGTTTGGAAGGCTTGCAAAAATGGAACCAGCAAAAACGGGTCCTGTTCTTCCTCATGGCCGGGCTTCAGAGCTGTTGGATTCATGGCGGAGCACACGGCATTTTAGTTGCTGGGAAAATAAGCCTTATGTCCTTTTTACTTTCCACACACAGTCATGCCTAAGCCAGGGTGCCCCGTTCAGGTTCCATGTATTTGGGAGGCTTGGTCACTTTGATTGAAAATTGATGGCGCTGGTTCGGGTTTGATTCTAGCCTTAGCGACATGGATTCCGAAAGCGTATTTGTAGAGATCCCGTTCGAGTAAATCAATTGGCGAAAGGACACCTCAAGGGCCCCTCGGATAGAGGGCTAACAAGCATGTCGTGGAAGAGCATCCTGCGTGATGTAAAGGTTCAGATCTGGATAATTTGATCCGGACCTTGGTTTCAAGCGGAAAAGGGCAACTCTAGCAGAGAGGCACGGCTCGGCCGTAGTCCTTGCCAGACTTGAGCGCTTGTGCCCTTTGCGTTTCCTTCATTACCTTATTGTCCCTTCTGACCAACCAGTTAGTTTTTGGCAAGGCTCGGATCAGACTGACCAAAATGGTCAAGAAGCACCTTGCATACATTGAGACCACGTCGAGGGGTCTCGGAAACGCATGGGTTGTGTCGCCCAAAATTTGGCTTGAGTGTCGAGTCGATTCAGAAGGCAAGAGTTGAGCACAAGGCAGGCTGTCAATGCGTGACGGGTAATGCGCAGGTTCCCAGATTCAAAAGAAGAATATCTACCCAATATAAGGAGATGTACAAAATCAAGTGCGACCATTTGAGCCACTGAATGCATAAAAACAGCCCTTCTGTGAGTTCCTCCTCGCCTTTCCTCTCACATTGGTGCCAGTCTGCAGCCATGGTGGACGTGAAGGCGCTGTATGGCTGTGGAAAATCGTGGGAATTTGAGTGCCAATGTCTATTCGAGATGCCAACAAAAATTGAATCTGAACAACAAATCCCCTTGAAAGCGATCCAGCGGCCATTCCTCGCCAGCCGATCTCTTTTCTCGCCGTTTCTCCACGAACCGGCTTGGGGAAAGAAAAAGACACGGTGCGAAGTCCAGAAACGAAAAAAGAGACGCCACGATGCATCTCAGGTGCGCATCAAAGATGGGTGCCGCGGAGGCAGGGAGCAGTTCCAATGGCGGTCCATCAAGGAGCAGGAGTTCAAGGACTGACTCGCGAGAGGTGCCGAAGGCTCAACCCTCAGCTTGGGCAACGTTGGGCTGATTTTATAATAAATTCTCACCAAAACGATTATAGAACATACTTCCTTTTTCTTTTAAGAACATATGTTCTATGTGTTTTCTTTGGGTTGTGAAGGGCATCTATCACTACTGAAAATATGTTGTTGTTGTTTTTTTCCAGGGGACTTAAGCAAATGGATGCTCATATTTGATCGAGGGACGTCGCGGAAAGGCTGGCTTTGAACATAATTACATCTTGGTCTCTCTCCCTGCAAGTGAGTTTCCTTTGGGCGCAGTGATGGTCTTACGTTGGAAACGCACTTGCAACCCTGACGACAAGAGCCCCCCCCTGCAACAACCACCCCAAAGCCACAAAAGGGACAAGCGCCCGGGGAGAACAACAGAATCGCGGTTGCGCTTTGGTGTACCCTTAATATGGAAGCGCCCCTATGCGGAAAGTCCCGGCACGGGCCGTAGGGAGGGAGGGTAACCTTTGTCCGTTTAACCTGGAAGATGACATAAGGGCCAAACCCTCACCAGCAAGGCGTGGTTCAATTGCAGGGAGCCAGTTGAGCGCCCCAGAAACATCAGGAACCGTACCTGCCAAAGGGTTTGGGGCCTGCACAATGCCTGAAGCGTTGGTTTCAAAGAACCAGACCAGACTGATTGTATAGTCGTTGATATCGTAAACATTTGTCACGGTTTCATCTACTAGCGGGGTTGAAGATAGGGCATGGCCATGCGCGAGGACCGGGAGTCCTACCTGGGCCAATCCATGAAGGCGCAGAGCTCACCTGTTCGGTTGCTCACCTGGTGGCATTGACTCATTTTGTCGAGTTTCTGGACTCAGCTTTTTGGGACCAAGTGGTCAAGGGTCTTGTTCTGGCCTCCACTCAGGCGAGTTTCCTAAGATGCCCGCAACGCCAAATGCGAGCTATGCCCGTTGGCAAAGTTGAAACCACTTTGTGAGCGATATCTCCATTATTGAAGGGGGCCAAAGGTTCAACCTTGTTGTGCCAGTCTATTGGTAGGTCGTGGAATTGCAACTCCGTTTGCGGGAGAGCCATAGCAAAAGCGGAGAAGTTTGGGGTTGCCCTGCGTGGCTGTGATACGAAAGTGGGCTTCCCATCCCAATGGCTTCTTTGACACTTGAAAGGGCGGTGATCCGTCAAATTCAACCCGCCCTGTTGGGAAATCAACAAGTTTTGGACCAGTCAGCACATCTCCCTGGATGGATTTGTGGTTTCAACGGGTGTACCCCAAAATGGAGTGAGCCTTCCCTTTTGGTTGCCACTTTTGACACAGCAATCAGGTTGCGCCCTCCTGCTTGACGTCCGATTCCGTTTCTTTCTGGCTTCACAACCGAACTTGTTTCTTTTGTATCACGAGCAACTAGGAACTCATGGATTCATTCGGGGTGTTCTCAAGGTTTGCGAGACCGCACCTATCAACCATGATCGCTTTTCCCCAGGTCGGCCAGATGAGCAAGTTCGGGAAGTACTACATGCACGACTGGTTCGCCAGGAAGCGCGACACCACCGCGCCTCGTCAGGATAGCGCGGAGCTGTTTTTTTGTTTGCTGACCGCTGGGAGGTTCGATGGAAGATCCTGCAGGGTTGCTCGCAACGTTCAAGAACCATGAACAATACACGGTAATCGGACGTCCTTCTGTTGTTGTTTTCCCGCCAATGGTCTACCCTTGTGACAGGGCCCTGTGTCTGTATAGTTTCCACCGAGTTGTCCCTGGAACCTTACTTGTGTTACTAATGAGAGGCGGTGCAAACTTGAAGGCCTCACTCCCTCTCGGCCTTGGGCAGATCCTTTTGCGAGTGAAGAAACTTGCTGGGAAGCTGCATAAAGACGAATTGGGAAAGCAAGGTAGAGAAAGGGTTTGCCTTGTAGAAAAGCGGGTCAAACAAAAACCGGCTATTGTCGAGTTTTGGGTTCTTGGGTTCTTGGGAGAAATCTTGAGAACCAAAGGGGTATGTGGGAAGTCCGCTAGTCGCATGTGGGGAATTATGTCAAAATTGGGGGACGGGGGCCAAAAATCGTGGCTGTCCTTTTCGGGTTCTTTGCAACCGATCTGAAAAGGCTGCCGAGCCTCAAAAAGGCACGCTCGGCTTTTGAGGGCGCCAGCTGCAAATCCCACGGCAAGGAGGGGTGCAGCGTACCAAGGGGTGGGTTCTTTGAAAAACCCTGGAATGGACGTTACAGCAAATGCCCGCCAACACTTTTGTTTTCTTAACAAACTGTTATATCCATGTGAGTTCTCCAAGAACTCAACGGGTTTTGCGTAGCTCGCTCGTCCGACCTTGAACCCTCCCAACAATCGCGAAAGCTCCACTTTCAGATAAGACAAAACGGCTCCCCTTTTTGGGGGGCGGCCCCATACCGATATGGGAACACAGGTGTAATCCATGTTTCCATGTACCAGGGTTCCCATTTTGGGTACATATTCTTGACCCACTGCTACATGGCTGTTACCCACAGATCAACACATCCCCCCTTTTCCATGCGCTCCTCCCATGCGTGCGAGAGCTGGCG